CATTTTTAACCTTCGTCAAAATTATTACTGAAGAGGTATGGTGTGACTATCCCAACATCAACAGACCTGACTACTGCTTCTTTCCACGGAGTTCAGTCCGTGGCAATAGGTTTGCTAGGCAAGGCAGAACAACACCTGGCCAATTAAGAAAGAATGACACTAGCACTGTGTAATCTGCAGATCACACTGGTAACGGGCGAGCCGACATACCCGGTCAGATGCTATGGAACCCAGACCCCGTACTCTACACCGTCTCGACTATTCATGGTAAGCTTCTTCTTTTTTTTTTCTTCTTTTTTTCTTTTCTTTGGGCCTTCTATGGCACTACCTATTTACGCCATTACAGCCTGCTTTCATATATCGTGCAAGTTCCGTCTTCATACGCAAAGTCCTTGACTAGTCAACGACTCAGTCGGTTGTCTCTCCTTCTTCTGAATTTTACGAGAAGAAAGTTAGTCTGGCGGTGGACGTTCTGTTACACGACACGAACAGAGCTTTATATGTATATTCCGGGGACGGTCTCCGAAAATAGTCAATGCCGGTGGTCCTGTCGGCTCCCGTTGAACGGATGAACCAAGCGTTCACGGATTACCGATCCTCGTGGTCACGATTTATGGATCTTATAACCTTAAACTTTCTACTTCGGATGGTACTCTAGCAGAAGGCTGATCTGTTCACGCATGGTTTGGCCTAATTTATGTCTGCCATCGGTCACAACTGCAAGGTCAGTCGGTGCCCTTGGTAGGTCAAAGTGATGGCAGGCATGATACCTGGCGCTAGCCCATACTACCTACACTGTATTTCGACGTTTGCGTGATCATCTCCGATTAGTACCCAAATCACCCCCGCACGCAAATTGGGCTGCCATCTCAAGATCTTGCCGAGTTTTATCCCATCCATGTCCAAACACCTACGTGTGAGAGCCGGTACAATTTTATGCGCCAAATTCCAATCATGGGAACTTCTCCATAGCGCCTAATCACAGCTCGCCCTGACTGCTTCCGAGACAGAGTCCAGCTCGCTGAGTAGACATGAATTGTGTGAGGAGACGTCTGAGTGAACTTTGCCCGCCCGAGGACACTACTTGTATTGGCGCCGCTTTCGCGGGACGTTCTCGGACTTCCTTCCGCTTGATGGTGGTCTACTGTAAGTTACAAACGGGGACAGGGGCACCGCGGAGCAAATCCTGCTCCATGTCCATCCCCCCCCTGCATGAGTATAATCACAGGCTAGATTATAATCATCATTAACCCCATCGACAGGACAAGACGTTAAAGATTTGTTCGTCAGACTCGGCGCAGCACCAACCTATCAGCCACAAGTGACCGGAGTCCATGGCCTTGTTTTCAGATCCTTCCATGGCCTTCTACCGACGCGTTGCCCTATTCACAAGGGGAACCGCCAATGGACTTCTATCTTACCATCGATCAGACCGATCGGTCGGGAAGCTTTATCGCGACAACGCCGACACGTGGGGCTATATGTAACAGAGGCTTTGCTCCTTACGCACCAAAATTCGTACGTTTTTCCACCGCTGTCTCACGTCAACATCAGTTTCTCCTTACCGCCGATCATAGGTAACATTGCCACCAATTTCCATACTATGTACACTATGTACATACTACACGGAGCATTCGGGACGAATCCTGAATGTTCTTACGCTTCTTGAATCTTCTGCTGGAAAGCTCGTTAGCTTGATACTTGGTACAGAGGGCTCCTCGACCACTTTTTTTTTTTTTTTTTTTTTTTTTTTTTTTTTTTTTTTTTTTTTTTTGGCAATTTTAACAGCATCTGATTCTTTATCGCTCGCCACGAATAGATTCAAGTTTTGCTGTATGTAGACATTTGGAGAGAAACAATGAGTCGTTGTTCTTACCTTGGCCTTGGGCTAACAGGAGGGTTGAATTCCCTGTTCTCTTTCTTGTCCGAAGACATTGTATTTTGCCCCAATGTTCAGCTATCCTCAGCACGAGAAACTACGATAGGTGAGAGACAGGCAGGGGCAAAGAAGACGCGTTTTATCGATAACTGGCGTGTGCCGGGCATCAGGGGAGATACGGTGCGATTTTGGAAAGCATTGTGGGCCGAGTTGTGCCAGCAGACACCGAACACACCTTCCTAGCTCGATCTGACATGCACCACGAATATCGACATCGCACATCAACATCTCGAGTGCTCGGAAAGACCCGAGCAGTTACCACTCGCTTTCTTTTTACGTCACTACACACGTGTACGTGAGATCTTACCTACAGGCTGTTCAAGCCCCTGAGGATCTTCTGGGATCCCTGAGAGAGAGACGTGCAAGCTTTCCTGTGGCTTGTTAACGTTCAACAATAATGAGGCTACTGAAGCCACCAGGTCTTGGCGGGCCCACTGGGAAGCGCGGTGTAGCTTGGGCGAATCAGATTGTGGTCCCAACGTCAGTTGTTGTTGAAGTCTGAAACACCTCCTTAACTGTCATCTGTCGACGATTGTTAACATCGCCATGCACCGGTGTCGGGAGAGGTTGCTCCCGAGACATCGGAGACGAACACCTTTTAAAGCGTCCAGGTGGGTTCAAACGAAACACAGTCCACACACGACGACTGTCGTTTGGTGAGCCCATGTGTACCAGTTTTTTCTTGGAACCACCTGGCGTCCAATGGGTAGAGGTATGGATACCAAACTGGGAAGTTCGGTTACCGCTTCGGGGGTGCGGCCGTCAGAATCTGTCGAGATCTATCCTGTCCCTGCACGGATGACAGATGTGCAGGTACGCTCTTGAACCCTGAATCTAAAAATTGACAGCCCTACCTACTTCGGGTTTACGCTCCGGGGATGAGACATATAAGTCCTATCCCGGTCTCAATGGCGGGCTCAGACTGGACACTGAAGGACTGGACATCGGAGGCCAAGTGGTCTGGGTACCTATAATGAGTTCCGTATTACCTCTACTTACTACCTCTACCGAGTATATCGCGCAAGTTCACGGCGTTTCCACTGACGTGTGACCAACGGACCGGCCACATACTTGGAACGACGTAGGGTTTGGCGGCAGCTCTTCCCTTCTACCGGAGCGGTCTGTGAAGTATTACGATGGTATCGTACGATGGAGAATCGTCAGGGAAATGTGGCCGGTTACCTACATACCTAGAGGTAGGCATTCTATGTCCCCCTTTTTGGGAGAAGTGTTGACGACCTGCTGGTTTATATGGCGGCATGCAAACAAATGCTTGACGATTTGTGTGATATTTGCGGTGTTTCAGATTAGACCGCCACGGCCAAAGTCATGGGGTACTCCATTCTGGGGAGAGTGGAGCCAAAGGTTGAAACTCCTTGAATGACCGGAATAACACGTCCACGGAATAAAAGAGTTCTTGTAGCGATTGAGCGAGTTTTTCGATCGGGTTCATAGCCTTTCTCAGCTTCATGTCCGAGCTCAGAGCTACCTCTCCATCTTAGCGCTGACATGTCTCGTTCTGGTTCTATATCTGTCAGGACGAGGAAGCTTGTGAGACAACAAATCGAGATATGATGCTCCATCTAAAATCGAACGATGGGACAGGTCGTTATCAAATGATCTACAAGCGTTTGATACAAAACCCTTGCTCAGGAAGGCTAACACAAGTGAGTGTCTCTCGGGGTAGAGGTAGGCAAGGCATATTCGAGCGCGAGCTGGACACAGGAAAGGGTTAGGGTTGGGTCGGAGGCACGAGTCGGTTCATATCCTGTGATGGCATCCGCGTACACCAGATCGATGGAACCTATACGTACCCCAATTCCTGCCCGTATGTAACGCTCCTTGTTCCCACGCGTAGTGCTCATTCACAGTCAAATACCGGCAAGGGTCGAGTGCTATTGACTAGCGCCTGCTGTCCCAAAGAGTACCCGCCGGCTTATGAGACTCGGCGCTGGCATCGCGAAGAACGATGGAAAATGAATGGGTAAACAGAAATTCGAGCTCGAACAGCGGACAGAATTCCCCTGCTTGGGCGACATGGTCGACGGGATGTAATGTCCGTCATGAACACGATGAAGGAGGAGACATGTGAAAAAAAGGAAGCGCCTCTCAATCCAGCCCCGACGATTGGTCCACAGCTGCTATGGATCTGAGTCCTGTTGGGGTAAAAGCTTCTCCAAAAAGCGCGGGGAAAGAGCAGCTCGCAATCTGGGTGGATGCACATCAGATGCATTATTGAAGAACGCCATCGATGCGAGACGCGGAATTGCGAAACCGATCAAGCGAGACATTACGAAAAAAAAAAAGAAAAAGAAAAAAGAAAACCACCGCCGAAAAAGAAATGCTACAAGGGTTGAATCTAATTCCAGGACACAACGAAAGTTGCTTTTCGGATGCTTTGCGGCTGAATGATCGGCCTTGTGTCTCTCGACAGATGTGAGACCAGCCGGAGAAAAGTGAGAGAGGGTTCGGCCGACATTTCTCGACAGCAGCAAAACCGCCGAGGCGGCACGGTGGGCGCGATATCGCAATGTAGCAATGTCGCAATCTGGGCGAACTTTTGGCGCCCTCGGAACCCCACCGATTTGAACTGTGATTGAAGTATATTCCACCCTCATTGGGCAATATGTCTCTCTGTGACCGGCGTTGCACAACCGAAAATCCAGCGATGGCTCGCTCTCTCCCAAGACCAAACAGCCAAAGTTTCCCGCCTGCCGGAGGAGACCAAAGACTTGAAAGGGAATAGCGACAGAGCTTCCACCCGACGGCTGCTTCCTTCCCTTCATGGACCTAGTGGTGGGTCATTCTAGAACTTCCGATCTAGTTGCAACGTCAAGCATTTGCAAGCAATTGCAAATCATGGTCACGTCAAAGACTCGAACGCTCCCAATGCAATGGTGTTATTTTTTTTCCCTCTTTTTTTCTTCTTCTTTTTTTTTGTGTGTGTGTTATCAGGACCTTGATTGCTCTAATATCTAGCTCTACCTCCCTAATGACACCGCCTTCCTAGGTAGCTGTATCTCTATCTCGCTCACAAGGCTTACGGGGTAGGTAGCTGGCCATGATATCGTCTAGCACCCCTGCCATCGAGGGCAGGGCGCCATCTCAACCCCCACCGCAACCCGATTCCAGACTGAGGAACTCCCATTCGCTTGATATCAGCAACTCGAATACTTCAAAACCAAATAGTGTAGGCAGCCGAAGCACGAAGCAACCAGGAATCGATACCCGCATTGAAGACGAAGTTGAAAATGTCAACTTGCGCCAGGATGACTTCCCTGACTCCCAAGTCACCGGCTTCTCAGATGCCCAGGAACGGCATATCCGCCGCAAGGTAGATTTTCGCCTTTGCACCATCGCAGGAATCCTATGCAGCCTCAACCTCCTCGACAGCAATGTTCTCTCGAGCGCCGCTGTCACATCGATGCTATCGGATTTGGGACTTGACCAAGGCAATCGCTTTTCCGTCTCCATCTTCATCTTCACCGTAGCGAGCATTATCTTCCAGCTTCCTTCGACCATTGCCGTGCGCACTTTCGGTCCCCGTATCTGGTTCAGCCTTGTAACATTCTCGTTTGGCATCATCACCCTCTCGACCGGATTCGTCAAGGACTGGAAGCAGATGATCGCCCTCCGCGTCCTTCTTGGCGCCACTACTTCGAGCATCTACCCCGGCCTCTCCTACCTTATCAGCTGTTGGTATCCACGTCGCGAACAGCAAGTCCGTTTTGCTTTCATGCAGAGCGGCGAGGTCATCATCCTTGCCACCGGAAGCCTGGTCAACTATGGCCTCCAGCAGCGTAATGGCGGCGCAGGCCTCGAGGGATGGCGATGGATGTTCATTGTGCAAGGCCTGTGCACATGCGTGCTCGGCATCGCGACGTACTGGTGGATCGTTGACTTCCCGGAGAATTCGCACAAGAGCTTCTGGTTCCTGACGCCGGAAGAAGCTGACATTGCCTCGCGCCGCATCGAAAAAGATCGCGGAGATCTCATTGCCCAAAAGCTCAGCTTGAGGGCCGTTGTTGTTCATGCCAAGGACTTCAAAATCTGGGTGTTTGCCTGCCTCTTCTTCATGCAGAACGTCGTCTCGACAGCTCTGGCGTACTTTGTCCCCATTATCTTGGAGAATGGCCTAGGCTATTCGCCCGACCAGGCAATCATTCTCTCGGCTCCGCCCTACTACTATGCAGTCATCCCGGTCATCTTGTCGTCTTTGGTTGCTGATCGGTTCCGGATCAGGGGCCCGATTATCACCTTCAATGCCCTTTGCATGATAACGGGCTTTGCTATCCTTGGGTTTGCCGAGAATTCCAGGGCTCGCTACTTTGGAGTGTTCCTCGCCACGGGAGCATACGTAGCTAACTGGGCAGCTTTGACTGCCTACCAGGCCAACAATGTGGTCGGGTAAGTTTGCATTCCATCGTATTGGATTTGTTGCCAGGCGCTTTGCTGACTCTGTCTTAGACAATGGAAGCGAGTGTTTACCGCTGCCGCGTGCACCATGTTTAACGGTGCTGGCGGTATTGCTGGCAGCTACATCGTCCGCAATGTCGAAGCTCCGAGATATACCACTGCTGTCTGGGTGTCGATAGGGTAAACATCATCTCAACTCATCGCCTTTTGCTGCTGCCTAGACTGACCGCTAGAGATACCTTTAGGTCTCACATCTTGATGATCTCACTCGTTGGTACTCTTACAATATACTTCTACTTCCGGAACAACCGGGCTGCGCGCACGAATGGAGCCGTTGAAAGAACCGTAAGCCGATAGTGTGGTCTTTCCAGTAACTGTGAGTGAAGCTAACCTGGACTTTGCAGGCCGGATTCCGGTACACATACTAGTTTTTCTTGGTTATCTATGCACACTCCTCCGATATACCCATTTGCCGATTATATACCCTCGAATATTATGTGTTCAGATGATCTTTTGAATACAATCGTTAGTTATTTTAATCACTTGACCTACCTCTACTTTTCGAAGACAACCTGGGCATCTACTCCGCGTGCACCATCCTTACCTACACGGTATTTGTACTACGATGTAACAGAGCTTTAAATCTCCCTTTATTTACCTTGCCCTTTTACAATACCCTCTCAAGGTTCACGGCAACAAAAAGCCGCTTGACCACAGGCCATGTTGAAGTAAGTGGCCCATTCGACTACCTCTAGGTACTTTCAGGTTCTAGATTTCTATCATCAGCATTAGCGACTAAGCTTTGCAGCGTAAGTGTAGTCCCAAAAGCTAGACGGATGTCTAGTCGATCCCTCAGTGCCACGCATCTGCCCATGCACGCACAGCCATAGCAACCGGGAACAAAGACGGAGTAACATAGGTACGCTCAATCTATAGAGCTGACTCTGAAATCGACTCAAACGTCTGGTCTTAATGCTTCTACTACATAGAGGTAACCAACACGTGCCCAGGTATACTTCGGCTTGCCCGCCTTCATCAGCTCAAACGCCGTGTCCGCCTCTTCCAGCGGGAACTTCTTAACGAAGCACTTGATCCCATACGACTTGGCAAACTGGATCGCCTCCTCTGCATCCAGCGTTCTTCACAACAGCCACCCATGCACCATCGACTGCTGCAACATCAACACCGTCCTTTCAATCTCCACCGGCCCTGCGCACGAATTCTTGGGCTGCAGTACCTGGTAACATCATGGGGAGCAGCTGCCATTGTACTTGTACCTTTCTCAACACAAGACATATCCTGATAGGTATGAAGAACAAAAAACTGAAGGCTTAATCACCGCAAAGAATATACAATGGTGATTTTTCGTGTCAGGCTGTCTTTTGCGTATATGTTTTTCGAGTGTCCCATAGGGTATTTGGACGTTTGTTAAACAATGAGATGGAAGGATGATCCCGAAACTCCAAGTTACACCCCGGATTTACAGAGGATCTGCCCCACAATCGATCGCTATTGGCCCAACCGCACCGGAGTTAACAGCTGCTATAAATCAGTCGCGGTTCGTTACAACGTTGAATGAAGGAACATAGGTACCTGCCAGAAAACCGCAGGTGTCTTTCACTGCCTTGCTTGCTGTATGTGATATCTTCGAAAATTGTAAGGTGAGAGCATTTTGCTCCCCTAAAAATGATTCGGGATGAAGGGCTTGATCTCTCCTGTGCCCTGAGACATGGATGGTGGGGCGTACCTCCTCTTTTGGCCCCACAAATCGGTGGGCTTGGAACAACGCATACACAGCAAAGAGGAAATCTGCTAAAATGACAGTGTAAGACAGCGCCTCGACGAAGGTGATAGGCCCCAGCGGCAAGGAGTCATGCGGCGGCCCCAGCACAAGGACAGCAAACACTGTCTGTTTAAAGCGGAGTGACCTCATCGGCAACCAACGACGCGCACTCCACATTTGACATCTCAAATCCTTCCGCTTTGGGTTTTTACAACCTAAACTCAACAAGTCCAACCACCCAACATCACCCAACTGCTGCATCTGCTTTCATTGCCTGTCCGGACGCTGCTTCAACTCTCCCGTGCAAGGTCTGGTAACGGCAAAGGAGACAGCTTGCAGTCATGAAGACGCAAGAACCACCCGATAGCAACCGGCCGGCGCAGGCGTGCCAGGTCGACATTCCCGAGCAGCCGGACTCTGCTGTCCAGGAAACCTCGTTTGCGGCTGATGCCTACGACGCATCCTCCGACCTCCAGGTTCTCGACCACGAACCGATCCCGGACGAAGAGTGGCATGCCCAGAACGGACAATCATCTGCTCTGGAGTCCCAATCCAATCATCAGCATGGCACCTACGGTTATGGTTATGGCTCCTTCCCCCATACGCTTAGGACCGGCCATGATGGCCATCACAAGTCCACCGCCCGCGCCCTTGCGCCCGACCTCCTGCGAGGATTGTTGATGGTCCTCATGGCTCTCGATCACAACTCCATGGTCCTGCAGTCATGGGACCATGGGACTGCTCCTCAGGGCGAAAACGACTCGATCCCCGTTCACGAGTGGAATCGCCCGATTGCTCACCATATTCGGGTGCTGACCCATCTATGCGCCCCGGGCTTTACGTTCCTTCTCGGTATGGGCATCGTCTACTTTGGTCGGTCTCGAACCAACCTAGGCTGGTCCACAAGTCGCATGGCCTGGCATTTCTTCACGAGAGCAGTCGTCTTGACCCTTGTCATGATCGTCATAGGCTTGGGCATCACCTTGGGAGATACCTGGTTCCTTAATATCGTCTTGTTTGCCTTGGCTGTCGACTATCTCCTCTCGGGATTGATCTGGCTTGTGACCGCCAAGACGGAGAAGATGCTCGCCTTCATCATCCTCAAGGTGCTCCCGGAGAAAAAGGAAGACGATGCCACCGAACCGCTGCTGGCTAACCGCCGAGGGGTAGAGGATATCGCCCCCGACAGGGCCATCATTCGTGCCGCGGACATCTCCTGGCACATCCACAATGTGGTGCTCTCAGCCCTCGCAGTCGTGACCATTTGGTGGAACATCTGGCTCAGTCCCACCAACGGCCACTGCGGCGTCGAACCCGTGCAAAAGCTCCCCGACACCATCTGGGCTCGCATCTGGTTCTACCGGGTCTTTGATACAGAGTGGCGCATCATTTCCGTCTTCCCCCCACTGGCCTGGATTTCATTCGCCATCCTCGGTCTCGTAGCCGGCCGCATCATCCTCGCCCGCTCGTGGAGCACCAAGGCCATCGCCATTGGCAACCTCCTCGCCGGCATTGTCTTTACCATCGTCTTTGTGGGCACGCGCTTCCTCAACGCCGGAAACCTTTCTGAAGGGTGCCTCCATATGCCCGAGCACGAAAGGCCCGACGCCCCCGACAACCAGTACCTCGCCTCCTGGCGGTCCTTCATCTACCTGATCAAATACCCGCCTGACGTGGCCTTCTGGGCTTTTACCATGGCGGGCAACCTCTTTCTTTTTGCCTTTTTCAGCATCATTCCCCCGCGTCTTGCCACCATCATCTTTGAACCCCTCTTGGTGTTTGGCACATCAGCCTTGTTTTTCTTTGTCGGCCATTTGACGCTGCAGTTTGCGCTGGCTAAACCCGTGAGGCACTGGTTTGGACATGTGCTTGCGCACCCGGATCCTTGGAACCCGGACCAGCCGGCGGTGGGAGTAGATAACTTGTGGATTTTCTTTGGATTCTGGCTTTTGGTGTTGGCTATACTGTATCCGCTTTGCAAGTGGTATGGTGGGTTAAAGAGGAGGAGAGGGTCGGATTCGATTTTCAGGTTCTTTTAGGTTGGTGAAGGGGTCGAAGGGTTGGGTGAAGAGGAATGTACCTCTAGTTGAATACATCTAGAGGTGGGTCTGGGTTTGATAGAAAATGTTGCACTACAGGTTTTCCTGTTTCCAGGGTCCGTCTTGTGCCGCTTTAGTGAAGCTGGCTTTGTGCTCATTGGTTCCTTTTCTCTCTTTCTTGTGTCGGTTCTAAGCGATTCCAATCATGCGATCTCGGGTCTGGACATTTTCTAGGGCCGTTACGATTCGGGTACTTCTTTCGAACACCTAGCATCACGTACTAGGACGACAAGATGCTCACGATCGCCCCGAAGTAAATTTCCTCGAGGATCAGCGTCTTGTTGATACCCTAGGTAAATCTCTCGGCAATTCACGACAGGAAAACCCAAGAACCTCTGCAAGAGGAGAGGCTAGAGGTATATTGCGGAGCCTGATGACTTATGAACAAGGGCCTGGCGTCAGCATTTGACAGGACTTATTTCGGTGCTAATAAGAGATAGGCCTCAAAACTCTCGCTATCACTTCATCGACACTCGACCTGTTTGAACTTAGAAGTATGAGGTATGGAGGGGACGTTTATTCACGCAGCAGCCGGGTGCAAAAAAAAAAAAAAAAAAAAAAAAAAAAAAAAAAAAAAAAGGCACGGAGGGATGCAAAATGTTCGATTGTTCGTGCCTTGACTTCAAATAAAGTTCAGGTTGGAAGCAGGGAGAAAAAGACCTAGGGGTGTCATACGGTAATCAGAAAAGAAACCCAGCCCGGTACAGCCACGCCACCGACCCAAAAGGAAAAAGACCCAGCGCTTTCCAGTGCAGAAATTCACCTGCAGATTACGCCAGAACCACAAACGCCAATCCCAAACCGCTCCATCATCTCCTCACATTTGGGGCTTCGTGAGTGTAAGTCGAAGAGGAACACGTACTCCGCAGACGACACTTTTGGAACCCCAACCACCCTCTAATCCCCCCTCAAACCAACCCGTCCCTACCATCTTCATTGTCACTGTCCTTCGTCTTCTTCTTTTCTTTCCCACCCTTCCGCCCCCTAAAAGAAGGCCAAAATCTCCGAGACTTCTTCGCCATATCCTTCTTCCCTTTACCACCCTTTCCACCCTCTTCACTCGTATCGACGTCCGGAACACTCGAGGGTCTTTCCCTATCCGTACGCCCACTGCGAGCGGCAGGATCAAAGAAGTTGCCCGACGTGAAGTGTCTGGGCAATCCGAATCCGGACCTTCCTGCCAGACGAGGCACTTGGGGCACCTCGTCGTTAGAAAGGGCGGCACGGTAGTCCGTATCAAAGTGATACGAAACCGTTTCCAGCCCCTGATCACCCACTGCCCGGGATGGAGCAGCGTGCTCGCTGATGTCGTAGGGGTCGACACCAGGAGCGTGGCTCACAGGTGGAACCCTCGGATGAGGGGCCGCAAGGAAGCCCTGGGGGTCAGCCGAAGCCAACGGTGAACCCAAGCTTGGAACAATGGGAGCTGCCACCGAAGCCGGAGCGTCAGTGGCAGACGGAGCAGGAGGTGAGGGAGGAGAAGAATCGGAGGGTGCCTCCGCGGCCTCAGGTGTGAGACCGGGGGGCGGGAGGAAGGACTGAATCTCCTCGGAGGTAAAATGGGCCCGCCCGAGGCGTCTATTCCTGCGTTGGTCGCGAGCCACTCGCGCGGCCGCTTCCTCGGCAGCCTGGTCCCCCATGCCCTCGTCATCAACAAACTCAACCTCATCGTCGACGCTGGTGAGAGCAACGCCAACATCCCTACCCCTCTCGTCATCGTCTTGTTCCTCTCCTTCTTCGTAACCTTCTTCGGCCTGACCCTGTTGGCTACGAGCAAGCACATACACCATGCTCGCCTGCGGCCCGCATACGTGCTGGACGACATGCGCCGTTCCACCCTCCATTATCTCCAACCCCAAGTCGCCGCCAACCCCGAACTCAGTCCGTGACCACCTCCATGTCTCCATGCCTGACTCTTCCTGCGGCGGGATAGCCGCAGAGGTGGCGTCAGCAGCCACAAGGCCACCACCACGTGCGACGCCCGAGGAAGACGTCAGAGCGTGTCCTCTACCCAGCGAGGGCAGAGCTGCGGGCGCGTGAGCACCCGAGACGGAAGAGTTGGGCTGCGTCGGCTGGGCTGACGCGACGGTGTCTCCAGAGAGAGGACGGACGGAAAGGACGGGCGGGCTAACAGGGAGGTTGTGGGCAGCGCTGCTCGCAGCCTCCGAGGAGACGCCAGAGGTGCCCAGTCCCTGTGGGAAAATATAAAAAGGTTAGCAAAGGTTCTGAAAGCATGAAAGTTTTGGTGTGATGGAGGGCGATGGTTGATTTGTCGTTTTTTGACGACTCAAGCTCAGAGGGGCATGAGGTATATGTGCTGGGAGTGGTTTCTGGTACATGAAGAAAGACGGGGAACGACAAACAAAGCATAAAAGACCTACGACCGTGAAGTTACAGGAAGGAAAGGATGTTTTGTATGCGAGGAAGGTAGGTAGTAAAGTTGTCCGATAACCACTTGAAGGCTATGTGTTCTGCGTTTATGTTCCGGGTAAGGACATGATTTGTAATAAAGTTCGCTCGAATGCCAGCTACGACGTCGGCTCCGATACTCGCAAAACGATGATTTAGGTCGGAGCGCAACAGGTAGAAAGACGAAGATTAAGGGGATATAGTGTTGGCGGGAATCTTAATATTAAATCCCGATCACGTATAGAGGTATCTTGCTTACCTCATACTCGCGAACCGCGCGCCCATACATCTATAAAGGAGATAAGGGTTAGTGAACTACATTGCGAGGTCTGGTGGGGGTAGGAAGAAAAAATAAGAAGATGGCGGTGGTGATGAGAGAAGAGCAGAGTTGACTTTTCCCTCACTTCCAAAGAACACGTGGAAGAGGGAAAAGCGAAAGGCAAAGTGACAACGAGGCATATGGAGAAGGAGCGATTTCAAGTAAGATACCTCTACACATACCTCCTCTACGGTGTCGACGACGACGTCGTCTTTTTCTGCTTCTTGGTCAGCCGCGCCCGCGCGAGCGGCGGAAGCAACGTTGGCAGTGCGAGGAGTCATGGTGTTGTGGGTGGGGTTGGTGTGGTGGTGTTGCCAGGGTGGAAAAACAACACAAAAAAAGAACAGAATACGGCAAGAGATCGTTGGTCTGGTTGCATACCTACAATTGATTAGTGGTCAGTAATACTTGCTTGCCACCTGATGCTCAAGCTGCACCTTGGTATGCTTAGAGCAGAGGTACTTACGACGGCGAGAGAAAACGATGCGCTGGTGGTGATGGGAGAGGAAAAAGGAGAAGAAGATGAGGACAAAGAAAACATTTCAAAGTTTTATGACCCTCGGGGGAGGGCCCGGCAAAGGGCTGGCATCGACGTGCCTGCCTTCGCAAACCAAAGGAATAGATATCTCTAGGCTACTGCCTTGAGAAGATCGGACAATAGGTACCTCTAGTTTCAAAGTTCAGACCGTTGGCGTGGTGACCAACTGCAAGCTGAATTTGCGAGTCGTATCGGGGCAGCATAGGTAGATGTTGCTGCCTATACGTCTGAAGTTTGTTATTGTCTAGGTACGTGACCATAGAGGTACGCTTAATATCTTCCTAGGGCCCCTTCTATTGAAGTGGAAAATTGTCTACGCTCGGATGATTTTCCCATCTGTTTGTATTTTTTCGGGTCGAAAGTACGGTACCCGGAAGAAACCGAACATTGGATAAGAAGAATTGGTATTAGACGACCTGTCAGCCCTAATTTTACGCGGACTGATAGTTTACCTACCTGATAAAGATCCTGCTGTTTTATTTGTACTTATTGAAAGAAAGGAGGCATCAAAGAAAGAAAAGAAAAAAGCTTCAGCTATTGTCGGCCAACTCTAGAGGGCCGTATCAAGCCAGATGTTGTTGCTCCTAGTTTCTCAAGTCTAGTCGTATGTTGTAAGCACTGCAATACGCGACGCAAGCCTTACGACACAAGACGAGTTCAAGTTTGGTAGGTACCAACTACCTAGGTACGTAGAGGTATAATAAGAATAATCCCTTGTAGATGTTTAGTTCCGGAACGAATGTGGCAACACCACTCGTTGCCGGCGCTTGCCGGCGCTTGTACTATTCTCTATAAGGTCATTAGACGCACGTTGAAAAACTATTTATGTATCATATTGTGCAGTAAGAGAACTACACGCAAAGCAAGGTGCAAATCCACGTAGGAACATTGCAGTGGCAGCTGCTCTCTCACCGATGAGCCATCGGATGCTCCTACACTGCTCAAACTTGAGGTCTCCGCTACCTAGGTAGAGGTACCTACAGATTTCGGAAACCGGCGGTATGAACACGCACGCAGTTTCTAGGTCGCGACTTGCAGCGAAAAATTAAAAAAGATGTTACGAACTAGACTTTCACTAGGTACCTCTACTTATCAACAGTTATAATTCGTCTTATTAGCATTTGGAGCCTTCCTTAATATGTAATAAGCGAGGAATACTTGAGTCTGGAGCCCCGGAGCCGCGCTCCTTTCCTAACAGGCCCGGTCTCAAGTGTTGTGCCGAAAGTTTATTTTCACGACAGATATTAAAGCTTACTTAGGTAGGTAGATAGTGTAAAAGATGGGCCCCGGTCGACGGCCCATGTACCTCTATGCATCTAGGGTTGTAGACACCTGACATGTGCATGTATCCAAGGTTTGGGGTTCTAGATTGTTGACATGACATGTTTTGGTCGGATGGGCGGGCCGTCGCGCCGGTGCTGTAAGGGGACGACGACTGGACGCACTTGCGGCTTTTTGCGGGTTATAGGGGAGGAGTGGGCAAGAGGCGACGTTAATAAAATACCTTAGGATGTTTCTAATGGAGAGCTACAAAGCTCTATACTGTTAGGTAGGTATTACTAGACGATTCCATCCGAAGTGTAGCTGGAAGGCAAGATACAGTAAAGAGTATTCTAGAGACATGTCATCGATAGAGTCTCACTTCCTCATAGAAAGGCTAGACAAAAACAGGCGCCCGGAAGGAATAAAGAAAACCTAAGCATACCTACATATAGAGGTACACGTGCTGCCAACAAGCGGAACGACACCCAGAGTCAGATGCAGCACCCCACGCACCGAACTGCCATCTCTTTCCCCAGTCCCTACATACCCCGTGAGCGCTAACTGGAGTAAAACTGAAGCTAGGTCTACCTAGAGGTAGGTACCTAGCCAGGTAGGCATTCTCAAAACCACCAAGTGTGCCCCATCCTTCCTTCACTAGTAATGACACGCTAGCGTTACACTTTTCTCCACGACGCTAGAATGTCTAGACCCAGGTAGGGCTCTGCCGTTGGACCGGACCCAAGCTTGAAGTGTCACATGCTATTTTTGCTTCGACGCTTTGGTGGTTTGTTAACGTCTGGATTCGATTCGTTATTGCGGTTTTACTATGTTACTAGAGTAATAACAATAATAAAGTTCGCGTAGAATGCAGGGAAGATTTTGAAGTAGCGGGTAAGTACATCTAGGTAATAAGGAACGAGTGAGGCTGAATGGAAGCCCGAAGCTACCGACCCAACTACGTGTACGTTCGGTCTTTCACGATATGTTAAACACGGGAGTAGGAAGAAAGACGTAATCGTAAAGAGAATAAAGACATTACATTTCATTTCGCTTGCTTGCTAAATCCAACCGCAGCCGTCACAACATGAAGCTCATTATAATATATGGTACATGCCTCACCGCCCTCCTATATCATATAGGGACGGGCGCACTTGAGACTTTTTGAAAGACTTGTAAGGAATATCGCTGTAGTAGTCAGACGCTTCCTCGTCGCCTGTCTAAGCAACGATAGCTTCAGACACATGGCCGTCGGCCTGGACGACGACCTTTTCGACTTTGAGGGAGGCCTTGACGGGGTTGGGCTGGTCGTAGACCCATTCGAGCTGCTCGAGGGTACGGCCTTGGGATTCAACACTGTAGTGGAACGAGTTAGCGATCTATGTGCTGTTTACGCATGTCGACAGAGAAAATGACCAAAAACATACCCAAAGAAGTACCAAGCGACGGTCTCGATAAGATCCCAGCCGACAAAGACAAAGATGTACTTGTAGCCAATGTTATGGAGAGCAATGGGGCCAGCAAACTGGTTGATGAAGCCCATGGCGTTGACAATGAAGCCGGAAAGGGCAAGACCCTTGCCACGGATGGTGGTCTCGAGAGCCTCGGTGGGAATAACACCCTGGAGGGGAGTGTAGGTGAAGGAGAAGATGACGTTGAAGAGGAAGTAAGCGGCCAGGGCACCCTTGGCGTAGTTGCTGTCGACGTGGAGGTAGGCGTTGTCCTTGGCATCCTGCTCGTTCATACCCTGGTTCAGGTTGATTTGCGTGCCCCTTTGAGTCTGCTTGTCAAGAGTAGCCGAAAGACCCGAGTTGGTGGCAAGAGCAGCGGCGCACATGAAGGTACCGATAATGAGCACCGCGCGGCGGGGCATCCGATCAGTCATGGACACAGCGGTCAAGGCACCAATAGCGGAGATGACGGAGTTGAGGATGTTGTAGGCGAGCTGTTGGGAGGTGCTGGTGACACCAATGTTCTTGAAGATGACGGTGTTGAAGTAACCGAGACCGTTGCCGGAGAACTGGCCAAAGATGGAGATCATGAGCACCTGGGCCATGCGCCAGCGGCCGCTGTGGGTCATGAAGAGCGGGCGGTAATCCCACCAGACCTTGTCGACACCGTCGGTCCTGATACCGTCCCTCATCTCCTCAGTCTCGAGCAAAACCAGCTTGGAATTGGGATCGCCATTGCCGTGATACTTGACAAGAAAGGCAACAGCCTCAGCGTCGCGGCCGTTGGCAAATAGGAAGCGAGGGGATTCTGGGAGGAAGAAGACGGAGGACATGACGATAAGGCACGTGAAAGCCTGAAGGATCAAGGGGATACGCCATGACCAGTTGCTCTTAATGAAGTAGCAGCCATAGGTGATGCAGGCGGCAGGAATCGAACCTCCGAACCAACCGCAGTTGTAGAAGCCAGTGCAACGGCCGCGCCAGTGAGGAGGGGCGATTTCGATGGAGTAGGCCGGGGCAGCAACGGTCATGATGGCGATACCGAGGCCAAGGACGAAGCGGCCAACGACAAACTGAGCGAGCTTGGAGGAGCTAGCAACAATAATGGAGCCGACAATGATAAAGATACCACCGATGAACATGCCCTTCTTACGGCCAAAACGATCAGAGAGGATAGCAGCAAAGGGAGCTCCAACCATGGCACCACTGGAAGACTCGAGGTGTTAGAAAAGCCCAAAACCAAAAAGGAGTGAATGCTAAATACCTAATGACTTACACGGTATAGAGAGAAAAGATGACAGAGACTTTGGGACCAGTGTCACCAGTGTGGAATTGGTTCTGGAACTTGTCCATAGCGATGATTCCGGTCATGAGCGAACCATCGTAACCGTTGGCGCATGCACAACAAAAGGCGACGAAGATGGCGAAATAGAGGTGGATGGACTCCTTGCTCCAGGGCTTGATATTGGACTCCTTGATGGCCGCAAATAGGGCGGCGTTGCGGACCTCCTTCTCTTGGGCACCGGGCTTTGTGGCTGTCTGGCCATGGCCCTTGGGCACTATCTTGATGGTGTCGAGGGTGGGCGCAATGTCATGAGTAGCAAGGTGCTTCTCGGTGCTGGCCCCGTCATGGGAGCCGTGAGACGACATGTTGGGTGTCTTCGAGGATGTCGGTGATGGTATGGGTGTTGATCTGGACGTGCTGGGCCCTTCTCCTGTGTCGTCTGGAAGTCGATGGGGGGTTCAGGACAGGTCAGCAGTGGACGACCATGGCAATTCTTACTCGGCACGATGAAGAGAAGACGGGACTGGCTGAGGAGCAAGAGGGGAAGGGTGTTGCAACGGCGGCGGTATCATCCTTTATCATGTTTTTGAGGATGGAGTGAGATGGTCGGACTCGGGTTGGCGCGAACGTTGCCCCCTCATCTCCAGGTTCCCCAGAAGGTCACCCCAGATCACCCCGGGTCACCCCCAGACGGCTGGGTACGGAAGCGCGCCGCGCTGCCACGTGAGCCATGGAGCCATGGTAAGACCATGACAGCACATAAGATTGTGGAGGGATCCGAAATCTAGAACCCGTTCCTGTCTCTATGATACTACCTCGCTGAAGTTAGCACTCAGGTGTCCCGCAAGAACACCAGACTTGACGAGATGGCCATGCTCCTTGCACAGTACGACCATGCACCGTTGCGGTCAGCAACAAGCGGCAACGAGATGCCTCTCGAGGAGGTATGGCGTAGACTTGGGTTGTAGCTGGCCCCTTTTCTTGCTGTGTAGCTGATGCTTGGCCCCGTTGGCGGCCTGTTGGAGCTGTCCCCGTCCTGGCTCGGACTCGTTCCCTCCGAGGTCTCCACAGCGGGATGCGAGGAGCAAGGCGCGCCATTGAGCATTGCTACCTCTATAGATCAGAAATTCTCCGAAAGTTCCTTAATTTGGATGTTATTTCTATGGCTCCGAGCCCACGGAGATGGTTTCGACAGATCGTCACTGCATAGGTAAGGTAGGTATATATCTTGCCGATCCCACCTGTCTTCCCAAGGTTGGAAGACCAACGGCGGCGGTGGGAAATGCGCATGATCCGTTGGAGTAGAAGGTTCGGTAGGGTGGATTCGGACCCCATGCTTGAACTTGTTGGCCGGGATGGCGGGACGATGGGCAGTCTGTTCTACCGAGGAACGACGGTGAAAGGAGTTCGTTCATGGAGACTTTCCGAGTTCGTTGCTTGTGTGTTGCCGTGTCGTGTCGAGTTGTCCGGACGTCGGCCCTCAATTCCATCGAGCTAGCGGGCGGGTGGCACCATTTAGCGCTACTTTTGTTTGGGGGGGGGGGGGGGGGACTGCCTCGCTAACAATTTTCACCACTAATACCCGACCGCTAACAATGCCAACCTCACCTACCTGAACCACACCCCCGGACCTCCAGAGAAGTCGTCTCCAACATCAACACCATCCGTCCATCCATAAGGTATGTGCCTCCAATTCCTTTTGAATTGCAATCGAACTGAGTTGCTTGTCCTTGTCTGGGGAATTTGGAAGCTGGGTACCACAAACGATGTGCAGGGAATGCGCTGTCGCATTGAGTGACCGTAGCACGAAGTACCGAAGCTTTCCATGGTAAACTCAGCAGCCATCATGATCGGCTTCGTTAATGCCATGCTCATCATGTGGAAATCATTGCCTAAATCTGTCACCTCGGTTTACTCCAGTCAAGACCAAGTGAAATCCATTACCAGCCAAGTGGCAGCAGCGCTTTCATCACCAATCCGCCTTATCCATGGCAGAACCTTTGCTATTCCGGCCTTCAGTATGAACGTTAGGCGTAGGTTCTCCCACATCATCACCATCGCTTGCTTACTTACCTACGGCGCTGCCACGTAACTGGGCTGGAGCTGCAGGAAGTCGTCGAGGTAAGGTCTCTCTCGCTTCCATCGATGTTACCCAAACTATTGCCATGCCTAGGTAACATCCATTTACACGGTATTGCTTCCCTCTCGCGGACCGTCAGCCGCAATTCCATCTCCACGCACTCATGTAAGACGTCGTTGGCCTGCACTGGTACCTACTGTACCTACCTACGCAACGTAAAGAATAGGGAAAATGCCACCCATACAGATACAACCGATTTGACGAACGAGGCCTGGATAAGGTTAGGTTCATACCTGTTGCGGTATCGGGTATCGCCTATCTAGCGTCCCAGGCCCGGGCCCAGACCCAGACCCAGACCCAGGTCCCAGGACGATGAAGGAAATGAGACTCAAAGAGACTGGGGAAATTGGGGGGTTAACATTGCAGTAAGCAGCCAGTCGAGCGGCTCCATTCGTCCAGTCCCGTCTGGTCGAGTCCCAATGTAAAAAAAATAATCACTCGACGGCATACATGTATCCTCCGAGGGACTGGAGCACTGAACCTAATGGAGGCCCGACTAATCTGCCCCTGTTTTTAACCTTCGCTGCAGGATTTCTTGTTTCCACCGTGACTTTGGATCTTGACAGGCGCCGCGGCTTCTGGACCTTTGATGTATAGAGGTATTTTTCTTCTTCTGCACGGCAGTGGCGTCCAATGAGTGGAAGTCCATGCCACCACGGCGGTCTAGTTGCTGATGCGCTGGAACCGAGTTCCGCCTGCTCCGGCCATGCTCTTCGCTGCTAGGATCGAGAGAGGAACGCATAGGCGACCCGGGACGGTTAAACATATTCAGTTGTTGCTCTCAGTTCTCATGTGTCGCTTCTTCTCGACATAGCACAACACGAAGAGTCATGTGCACCAGGCACCTGGAGATGACCTCCGAGACGTGACCCATCTCTAAAAGAGATTCCAAGCTGCGGTGAGTTCCTTCCAGAACTCCCAGCCATATGTCGGTCCATCGCACTCGAAGCCTCGGGTTCCTTGGGTCATGTCGGTCGACTGCGGTGAGCCAGGCGCGGAGGTTCCAATTCGTAGCGGACCTGCCTTTGCCTTTAGGGCATTGGAGCCACTACTGCAAGACAAAGAAAGTACGAACGAGACACTCGATGGTTCCGGGCCTCGGAGTTAGAAAACAGAGTACACCCCTGGAGGGCTGGCTGCTGGCTACCTCTAGGATGATGCATCGCATTCCGATCGATTCCTGTGCATTTCTAGAATCCAGCCGTGTACTTTTCCTTGAGTTAGCCATTAATTCATTCACCAAGTTGTAAGTAATCTCCATGTATGAAAAGAACAACGCACAAGAATCATGTCTGGATGCACTCGCGAATTCAATGACCTACCTATGTACTAGCCCACTAACTTTTGAGCGCCCGAACGTTCGCACTCCGTCAACATGTGATTCCCACCGGACCAGAATTAATTTCAGACAACTCAAAGACACTTGTCTTCGACTCTTCGTTCTTTCCTTCCCATACGCAAGTATGCTCAGAAGTGGGTCAACTACTCCTCAATGTAGAAGTACCTAGGTAGCCATCAACAAACCAACTCCCATATCCAGAGCTACTGGCTCCTTCCCCCTTCGCATATCAAGATCCCTGTAGTGCTTGTATACACCTTGCCTTGTTCTTCCCTTGCTCTTTTTCTTGCTCCTCTGCGCTTTAGTTGTGGTTCTCGATTTCTCCAGCGATGGTCGACTCTGCGAGCCCCTTAAAGTTATTGCCACCGCCCTCAGCCTTTTCGTCTTCATAGAACCCCTCAAACTTCAAGAAGGTAATCCTGCTTTCACCTCCACTCCATAGCGCAATCTCCAAATGGTTCTCTTTGTCCGCTCTAGGCTTAAGCTTGGCAATCAGTGCCTTCCGTTTCTTGAACTCTACCCATCCCAAGCAGTGATCGTCTTGATCGCTGCCCATAGATAGAAGAGTCAGTCGCTCCCCACTAACAACCGCTACCGTAACTGCGTCAGCACTACACTTAGTACCCCCCTTCTGAGTTGGATCGGTAGATGACAGGGCAATGTCGATAGAGTCGACGGGATACCCGTCTACACATCGCCAGACCGGTACCCAACAACCTTTGTCTGACTGGACGAACGATGAAGTAGATAGAGACCAGATATCACCATTCTTTGACCCCAGGATAAGGCGGTGTCCATCGGGTGCAATAGCCACAATGCGAGCGGGGACGGGATGCGCCACTGTACGGGTGACTTGCCCGTTTACTAGCAGGGTAAACCTTGTAAAGTTTCTATGGGAAACGACCGTTGCAAGGCCGTCATTGGTATAGCAAGCGTTGAGGATTCGTTCTTCTCGGGAGTCTGTCTTGGGTTGGTATGGGAGGGGGTCGGCAGGATTCGGGACAATAGAGAGATTGAGAGTTGTGAAGCTGCTTGGAGAGGCGGCAAGAAGCGTAGAGCCGGTAGGATGAAAGTTGAGGATTGTTTGCGGCTGCTGTAATTGCACAAACAGGGAATTGGACATTGGGAAGGTGATGAGTGGCTCAGAAACGGGGTAGGATAGGGATGGCCCGGTGTTTTTCCTCTTCGAAATGTCAAAGATCTTGATGGCATTGGAGTGTGCGTCATACACCGCCAATGTCTTCCCGCAAGACGAAAGAGCAGAAGCGCGATATTCAGCATGCCGGTCGTTCTCGTAGATCCAGCTGCTAATGAATCCGGCGAAACTTGAACGAATGGTAATGGTATAGGAGTCTATAACAATCAGTTTGTTCCCATCGGGGGTGTAATGCATTGTTGGCGGTAGAATCTTGTCGTGGTAGAATGTCGCTAGTGGAACTGACTTCAGTTCTTTGGCTTGCCAGCAGTTGGCTGGTTCAATCCACTGTACAATGACATCTCGCCTTGGATCGAGGGGGAGCGTTGGTCGCATGAAGGGATCTTGGTGCATGAATGTCATGATGAATCTTTTGCAAAGTTCCGAGACCATCGCTTGATCCAACTTCCTGGTTGGAAATGAAACTGTTCCGGCCTGGTAGTCGAACATCATCTGGAGATCTAGGCCAAAGGTTGGACTGCCGGTTAACATCTGAGCGGCGACCTCTCCTGCTGCCCAAACGTCAAATGCTTGTATTCCATTGAGACCTTCAAAGGTTGCAGGGTCTCTCGGTGTATAACCCCCTAGAATCTCTGGGGAGAGAAAGGAGAGATTTGCAAAGGCAACAGTGTTGATGAAAGTTCCGGGACTGCCATGACTGTTGGCAGACGTTGGGCAATGAAGCCTGCATCCCACAATTTTGACGCGCCATTCTCTGTTGTGTTGATCGGGGTTGTGTTCGGGAAGACGGTCGATAAACACGTGCTAGAGCGAAGACCGAGACGTTATTCTAGTGACCGCACCTGCACTGCCTCTACTCCAGGACGATTTCTCGGAATTCACTTACGCACAGTTGCAGATCGCCATGGGCAAGGCCTTCCTGATGTAAGAGCCCTAGGCCATTGCAGATTTGACGCATGATTGTTCTTGCTTCCTCTTCCCGTATGGATCCATGGGTTGCGATGAAAGACTGAAGATCTCCTAGGGGGCAATCCCCTGTCATTAGATGGAGGTCGGGAATACCATTGTCCTCTTGGTGGCCATCGGTTTGGAAAACTTGCAGGTACCGAAGAAAGTGGTATGCAAACTTCAAAGCAAGCCGAAATGAAGGTGGTTAGTAATGACCGGAACATAGAAAACTGTGAAAACAAACTTGGTCGGGTTTTATTGACCCACCTTGGGCTTTGTGATAGCAACGATGTGCTCTTTTGCAAAAACAAGAGCCTCTTGGCTTCTCGGTTTGAATTGTCTGACAATCCGAAGAGCTCCACGAGGAACTCCCTGCGCTACTAGGCATTTTTCTTGATACTCGACTTCAAAGGGGAGGGCACTTTGCAAGGGACTTGGCTCCCATAGCTCAATCTCACCAGATTGATATTCGTAGCACCTGCATTGAACATCGCGTAGAGAACCCAATCGTGGATAGTCTCCAGAGTGGTGAGTGGGATGCGGAGGCGTTCGAGATCCAGGAAGCGGCTCTGACATTGCGGGGGTTAGTACGAGTGCGCCAGGGTGTATGGATGAAGGTCAATGCCTTGATGGAATCCCTCACTTTTTATAGACTTGAGCAGAAGGTCCACCTGCGTCAATGCCAGAACTTTTCAACTTCATCTACAGAGCCAACATATGGTTGTGCGTCACGACTCTCGTACTTAGCACCTTGGAAGAGCTGGTGGTGAGTAATCACCTCCTTGATAAGACTGCAGAAGACAAGTCACGGTGAGATGTCCAGCTGCTACCATGGTGAAGAAGCTCCTCGGTCCTCGTGCGCCAGACGCCTCTGAAACCCCAGTGCTCGTCATTGAGAATGGTCGTAAACGACAAATGGCTAAGGTTCGATGATCAGAGGACGGAGCACAGCCCTTCAATCCTCTTGCGTTTGGCGTTTGTTCTGGGGTTGTCTGGGATTTCGATGCGACGCGCATTGGGAAATGGTTGAGGTTTGCTGTTGACAGCCGGTTTCGGCGTGGAAATCGGACAAGACCGCAGCACTTCATGTGCCCAGGCTTTACCGTTGCAACCTCAAAGCAGGGATTACAAAGCGCAGCGCCGTACTCGGGCCGATCCTTAACAATTTTCGTAGCGGGGCGGCGGCTTGAACGTCGTTTTTGGTAGCTCTTGCATTATTTGAGATTCACTTCGAAAATTCACCTGAGGCAATCGCAACTCACTCACTCCTTCTCCATTAAATATAGTAGCTTGAGCGCATTACCACAATCAACGCCCAACCGCGGCAAACACGCCAAAACTCTGCAGCAATGGCTACACCGATTCCAGTTCAGATCCTGGATGGAGGGATGGGAACGACTCTGGAAGACATGCACGACATCACCTTCTCATTTGAAACTCCGCTTTGGTCTTCACATCTCCTTGTTTCCGGCGAGGAGGACAAGCTATCGGATTGTCATGAGGCCTTCAAGCAGGCAGGAGCCAACATCATTTCCACCGCAACGTACCAAATATCCATCAATGGATTTGCTGCAACCAAGGCGCCGAAAAGCGGAATCCTCGACGTGGAGAGGGAGGGCATCGATAAGGAAGAGATTCCTCGCTTCCTGAGCCGTGCGGTTGTCCTTGCCGCAAATGCAGCGGGGACGGAGGGCAAAGTTGCCTTGTCGCTGGGTCCTTATGGCGCCACCATGATTCCATCGACCGAATACAGCGGCAGGTACGATCCTGAACACCAAGATGTGCAGGCCCTGGAAAAATGGCACAAGGAGCGTCTGGATTTGTTCAAGGATGTCGATCCCAAGCAAGTCAACTACATTGCCTTTGAAACGGTTCCTAGGCTCGACGAGATTGTTGCCATCAGAAATCTGCTTTCGGCCGACCACATCCCAACATGCCTCCGTGGACGCCCCGTATGGATTTCATCTCCTTACCCAAACGATAATGGAAAGCTTCCCGACGGCAGCACGGTAGAGGAGGTCGTCAAAGCTGTTCTCACGCATAGGGAAGGGCTGGAGACTCCCTGGGGTATTGGCATCAACTGCACAAAGGTGGAAAAGCTCGACTTCTTGGTCAAACAATACGAAGATGCGATCCAAACCTACATCAAGAACGGAGAGCAGATGGCCTGGCCAAGCTTGGTCCTCTATCCAGACGGGACAAACGGGGAGGTCTACAACACGGCCACCAAGACTTGGGAGTTGTCTCCAGGACACAAACAGCCAGAGGTACGCTGTGATCTACCATTGTTTACAGGTCCTTTGGTTCACGCACCAACACTCACTTCTTTCAAACAGGCCCCCTGGGAAACAGTCCTAGCCAATGTTGTCGAAGCCGCACGTCAAAGAGGCAAATGGAAGTCCATCGTTGTGGGAGGTTGCTGCAAGGCGTCCCCCGAACACATTCGAAGGCTACGAAGGACCCTACAAGATTACGGCCACATGTCAACCTCTCCAGCGGCGTAGCAGTATTTAGCACCGGCCATTCCCGTCAAGGAATCCTATTGTACACAACGAAGAAAAAGACTACCACGATGGCGAATGACACCTCAATGTTACCAGTACAAGACCGCATCGACATTTGACGGTTTCTCTTAGCCCATCATTATTGGCCACCCACCGCACTGCAGTCATCCCCAAAGAACATGCCCAAATCGTAGTTATAGGACCCAGCCCTCACATAGTCATCACGCATAATGATCCACGGACCGACAGGTGAGCTATTGGCGTTATTCCACAGGGCATACCTCCTCATCACACCGTCAGCCGAAGGGGCAGACACCTCACACTTCAACACCGACCCAGTCATGTACACCCCATCCGGATTCGAGCAGCGCAATGGATATTCTACCGGAGTATTCGTGAACCGAATAACGTGAAGGACTTGGCTTTCCCATGGTGGGAGCGCGTACACCTCATAGCCGGCCCATGTACCGCCGCTGATGCTCATCGTGCCAGTGGATATGTCGAGATCAAACAAGCCGAAATTGGAGCCGGTCGGCGCCTCAGTGATCAGGTTGGAGTTGGGGGAGAGCACACGAATGTGGTAGTCTTTATTGCTCACACCAGGGGTGATGGCTTTCAGGCAGAAGCCCGTGACTGTTGGAGCAGAGCTGGGAGCGGTCGAGGTCGTGCTCTCGACGGATGTTGTGGTAGGCTCCTCGGTGGTGGTGGGCGGCTCGCTCGTGGTGGGTGGCTCGCTCGTGGTGGGTGGCTCGCTCGTGGTGGATGGCTCGCTCGTGGTGGGTGGCTCACTCGTGGTGGGTGGATCACTCGTGGCAGGCTCCGTGGTAGAGGGCTCCACGGTCGACGCCTCAGTTGTTGTAGGCTCATCGGATGTAGTGGTCGTCGTGCTTTCAATGATACTGACAGTGCTGGAAGTCAAGTCGGCAGAGCTTGTTGGGCTGCTGACGACCGCTGATGGCAAGGCCGACGTTGCTAAAGACGACGTCGTGGTCCGTGGGCGGCATCGACTTGCCACAGTCATGGCCGCAAGGGCTGGCAAAAGCGCGAATGAGGCACGCATGGTCGATGATTCGAAGGGATTTGATCAGAGAATGGACGTGGAACAACGCGAAACGGGGAAAGAGAGCAGAGGTTTGACTTTGTGTGATTTCATGTTCACAACGCTTTGTCTTATATGGCACCCTATCGACGCTTTACACCACACGCTGGAGAAGCAATCACACAAAGTATCAGTCAACAGTCCAAATCTTAGCAGGCTTCTTCCTTCCATTGACCGAGAGGTAATTTAATGGTGGCTGGCTGAACTTTGGGGACTATCAGGGTCTAGACCCCATCCATCGAGCTACAGTCCAATAGTTTGTGGATCCCATTGAGAGGAACCAGAAAACCGGAACAACCATTGACAGCCCAACGGGGCGTCTTCAATCAAGTGCAATGACCGATAGTGGGTTAATCTTAAACGCTACTGCAGGTACCGTGAGCACTGATACAAAAAGAAACGAAACTGATGAGGTGAAAGGTGCCTAGAACAAGCTGGATTGGCCGAGTTGTTCGAGCCGAGGCATCGGATGACATCATTATCCATCCAAGGGCTATGCACTCCCCCCAGCTTCAACATGTTTTGAACTTTCCCTTCAGCACTGTCCAGTCGGAGCAAAACTCTCCGCCGCATCTTTGATGCTTTCCTTCAAGCCCGTCCATCCCACCTGTCCGACAGCACGCAACAACGAGAAGGGGATGTCCACAGGAATTGCCGTTTCATCAATTTGATTTGAACTCGGCAATTTCACCCAGTCCTTCTTTTCAGGATACAACTCCTTGAGAATGTCCAGAGTTTGGTTCCAACTGAACTGCTCCGCAGACCCATAAACCCTTGATCCAGTTAGTCCCGACACCAGCACGCCAAGATACAGCCGACCTGCGTCTCGAGCATCAATGGACGACTGCGGACCGAAAGTCGGCATTACATCGAGTGCTTCCTTCGGTTTCCCATTGTATAAAGCCCTAATCAGCCCGGCTGTGCTGGCTGCCTGATTGTCGGGATTAAGGATGGGCCCAGTGACGGTGGAAATGAGCATCGCGTTGAAAGTAAACGTCGGCTTCTCCCTCGCGACCCAGTCCCACAGCGCCTTCTCAACTTTAACTTTGATGGCCATGAACGGAGCGAGGCCCTTTTCCGCATCAGGGATGCCCGAGTCTTCAGCCAACGCCACCGCCTCGTGATTCCATGACTCCTTCGTCAGAGTCCTGCGGATCCCGACCTTGGGCGTATAAGCCGCCCAGGAAGAGCTGGTGTAAATGAACGCCTGGACGGTGTTGGAGTGCATCTTGGCGGCGTCGAGAAGACCGTAGAGACACTTGAGTTCTTCGTTGACGGCTTTTGGCACGTCTCTGTCGTCGAGCCAGGCGACCCCGGCTACGGTGATGACGGCGGAGACGCCGGCAACGTGAGCGTTCCAGATGCCGGGGGCGGTGATGTTGGGGACTTCAATGACTTCGATGCGGTTGACGCCGTAGCGGGTGGTGAAGAAGGGCTCGACCCAGGCGCATCGAGCTTTGTTACGCACGGTGCCTCGGACGCGGTAGCCGGCTGAGAGGAGCTGGTCGGCTATGTGGCTGGCGATTAGGCCGTTGACGCCGGTGACAAGTATGAGGGAGTCGAAAGGGATGAAGGGTTCTTGTGTGATTTTGAGGGGTGTGTTTGCCATGGTGCAATTAGTTCTGGTTGAGGTTGAGTGAGGGCTGGTTCCTTCGAAAATCGCAAAAGTACCGAGATCTTATAATAACAACAAAAGCAACATGGAAGATGGAAAAGACGATCACAACAACACCGAATCTGGCTGAATAGATGGACGTAATATATCTGAGTTCGAGGGGTAAGTTCATCTTCGACAGCATCAAAGACGTCTCAGCTACTTGCCTACCTCAACCATGCCCCTGCCATAGAAGGGAATATTCTGCTTTGAAATCAATAACACAACTAACGACTGACTTGCGCACACTCCATCAAGATTCACCGGTTCGGCGTTAGGGTAGCCAATGGGCTCTAGATAAGAACCCGATGTCTCATCGCGTTATCGTTTTCATGATGTTACGCTGCAGACGGAGGAATGCTGACCGTAGACCGAAGTGCGAGGGAGACTCAACCACCGGGTGCGCATGCAATCATAAGACGCTGCGAGATTGAAACATACCTCTAGGCCAATGGTCCAAACGTCATCGTTGACCAAGACCCTCGGAGACGATGTCTGCCCAGGAATTGGAGTTACGAGAGAAGATCGATATTGAGCTTGAGTTCCATGACTGAGCGGCCGCCCGATTCACTGTACGTCATGTTACGCTTTTGACACATGTCCTTGATGCCTAGAGGTAGAGATATCATCATACCTCTGGTGTCCAAGACTTGTCCCGTGAAAAGAGTTCGTCGGTCATGGAAAAAACCCACTGCCCGAAGCGATAACAAAAAAGAAAAGAAAAAAAACGAGAATGGGGATATGAACGAATGAACGGGGGAAAAGCCAGGAAAGAAGGTGGCCGTCCTTTATCTGATGATCAGATAACCACGCATCTCCACTTCCCACTCCTCTTTTAGGGATCAAGCACCCCTGTCGGCTCTGTTTATGTGGGGCGAACCGCCGAAGATGTTGACAAACGTCTCCATTCTCCCCACCTTGAAGACACCTCCGGCCGGCCAATATGCGTCATAACCGCCATGTCTGTCTCCTTGATGGGGCCATGGTATTTTCCCTGAAGACATTCATTTATAGACTGTTTACCTAAACATCTGCAAAACGCCTTGCTTTGACGACAAACGGACGCTGTCTTAGAGAATCAACTCGCCGACCCCAAGCCCTCTAACGCCCAACTGATTCCATTGACTCCAATCTTCGGGCTCAACGAGCCTTTCATTTTACTCGGCCACATAGGTACTTCTGAACCGACGGTAAACACATCTTTGTAACATGGCATCCCAACCCTCACCCCGTCGCCTCCGCATGGGCGTTGACGTCGGCGGCACCAACACCGACGGCGTCATCCTCGACCCATCCCTCGCTTCATCCTCTCCATCCAGAGGCATCCTAGCCCACATCAAGACCGCCACGACGCCCAACCCCAGTGCCGGCATCATGACCGCCATCACCTCAATGTTCACTCAACTCGAGGCCACCCACGCCGCCGACATCCGTCCCGAGGACGCCATTGCCAGCGTCACCATCGGCACCACGCACTTCGTCAACGCCGTCATCGAGCGGGACCCCTCCCGCCTTTCGCGGGTAGCCGTCCTCCGTCTTTCCGGTCCCTTTTCCAAGCACGTCCCGCCCTGTGTCGACTGGCCCGATGACATGCGCTCCTTAATACTGGGGTGTCACGCGCGCGTCAAGGGCGGGTTGGAGGTAGATGGGTCGTTGATCAGCGATATTGACGAGTCCGAGATCGTGGAGCAATGCAAAGAGATCCGCAAGCGCGGCGGGATCAGAGCGGTGGTGATTAACGGCGTGTTCAGTCCTATTGATACCGTCTACAAACAGGAAGAGAGGGCGGCGGAGATTGTCAGGCGCGAACTGGGCGGGCAAGGAGAAGTGGATGTGGTGTGCTCCAAGGAGGTGGCGAACTTGGGGTTTTTGGAACGAGAGAATGCGGCAGTTTTGAATGCGAGTATACTGAGGTTTGCAAGACGGACGATTAGGGAGTTTCGGCAGGCGGTGGGTCGGTTGGGGCTCAAGGGTGTGCCAGTGTTTATTACGCAAAATGATGGGACGATCTTGAAAGGAGAGAAGGCGGCGGAGTTGCCCATCAAGACGTTCTCGAGCGGGCCGACGAATAGTATGAGGGGTGCCGCGTTCCTCGTGCAGGGTCAGAAGAAGGATGGGAAGAAGGAGGGACATGAACAGGGAGAGGCGATGATGGTGGTGGATATTGGTGGGACTACGACTGATGTTGGGTTACTTTTGCCTAATGGGTTTCCGAGACAGCAGGCTGCTTATAGCGAGTTGGCGGGAGTAAGAATGGTATGTTGTTTTTGCCCACAATGGTCTCTGTGAACTGCTCCCTGTTCCAAGTGTTGGTGGCTGACTGATCCAATCCATGTGTGGACACTGCTGTGGACATAGAACTTCTCATGCCCTGACATCAAAAGCATCGGTCTCGGTGGCGGTTCCATTGTCCGAAAGGGCAAAAACGGCATCACCATTGGGCCAGACAGTGTGGGCTATAGGATCGACAAGGAAGCCCTGCTCTTTGGTGGAAGCACGCTTACCACCACTGATTGTACTGTGCTCACCAACCCGGACATCACCAGCATAGGCGACGCCAGTCTTGTCAAAGACGCACTGACCGAAGAAGAAACCCAGCAGTTCAAGGCCATCGTCAAGACCAAGATTGAAAAGATGATCGATAACATGAAGACGTCACCAGAGGACCTGCCAGCTATTCTTGTCGGCGGTGGTGCAGTCATTGCCCCAGATGAGCTCCAGGGTGCAAGCAGGGTGCTCAAGCCCCGATGGTCCGAGGTTGCGAATGCGATAGGAGCTGCCATTGCTCGTGTCAGTGCTGTTGTGGACACAATCAAGTCGACAGAGACCAAGACGGAGAAACAGTTCTTGGAGGAGATCAAGACGGACGCGATCGAGAGAACCATTGCGGCTGGTGCTTCTCCGGAATCTGTCGAGGTTGTTGAGGTTGAGATGTTGCCTTTGCAGGTAAGCTGGAACTTCCCTTGCATAAGTCATCCAAGTTCATACGAGCGACTAACAAGACACACACTTTCACTTGCTAGTATGTCGAGAACAAAACTCGTTTCGTCGTCCGCGCAGCTGGCGACTTTGACTTCACTCGATCATATATGTCAAGCGATGACGATGGGCAAGCCTCATCAGAGGAAGAGGCCTCGGGCGAAGACTTATCTGAGCCACAAACAGTCACAGACACCAACCCAAAAGCAGCAACACCATCCGAAGTCAATGTCCTCACCTACACCCCCAATGTCTTCAACCGCATCTGGCACATCTCCGAAACAGACCTTACCTTCATCTCCACCGGCTGCTACATCCTCGGCACTGGCGGCGGCGGCTCTCCCTACGCCTCCATGATTCTCCTCCGGCAGCTCCTCCGCTCCGGCGCCTCGGTACGGGTCGTCTCCCCTGCGGACGTGCCTGACTCGGCCGCCGTCGGCTGCGGCTGCGGCGCCGGCTCGCCGACGGTGAGCATCGAGAAGCTGCAAGGCGACGAGATGATGCAAGCGCAAACGGAGCTCTACAAAGCTTTGCCCTCCTCCGATCAAAATCAAAATAAAGCAACGCACATGATCGCCCTCGAAATCGGCGGCGGCAACGGACTCCAAGGTATGACGCTCGGCGCCAGCTCCAACATGGACATCCCCTGCGTCGACGGCGACTGGATGGGGCGCGCGTACCCGACCAAGTGGCAGACGACACCAGTAGTCTTTAACGAGCGGTCGCCCATCTGGAGCCCCATCGCCGTCGCGGACGGAAATGGGAACGTGCTTGTGATGCCCAAAGCGGCGTCGGATGCTGCCGTCGAGAACATCATTCGCGCGGCGCTAAGCCAGATGGGCAGCCAGGTGGGCGCCGCCGACCCGCCGGTTACGGGCGCGGAGATGAAGAGGTGGGTGGTGGAGAATACGGTGTCGCAGGCGTGGAGGCTGGGGAGGGCGGTGGCGAGGGCGAGGGCGATGAACCGGTTGGACGAGGTGGCAGAGACGATTGTGGAGGAGTGTGGTGGGGGGCAGAAGGGGGCGGCAAAGGTGTTGTTCAAGGGAAAGATTGTGGGTGTTAGGAGGACGCTGAGGATGGGACATGTTTATGGGGAGTGTATTATTGAGGGGACGGATGTCACGGATGATACTACAATAAATGATGGGAGAAGAACAGGGGGTCGACGTGGAGGTCAAGGTGTTGATGGGGAGGAGAAGGAGGATTTCACTGGCAAGAGGATCAAAATCCCGTTCAAGAACGAGAACATTGCTGCTATCCGTATACCCGCAGAGGATGGTTCTGACGACAAGAACAAGAAGTTGGAGAAGCAGGAGGATGTACTGGCGATTGTGCCGGATCTGATCTCGGTCATCGATGCTCAAAGCGGTGAGGCCGTGGGCACTCCGGAGTATCGGTATGGCTTGCTAGTCATTGTTATCGGAATCGCCGCTTCAGACAAGTGGACGGGGTCACAGAGAGGCATCGATCTTGGTGGTCCCAAAGCGTTTGGCTTTGACCATCTGAAGTACGAACCGTTGGGCAGGTTCGTGAAGCCGGTTAGTGTTATTGATGAGTTTGATAGGTCGATCGAGTAAGGGTATGAGTGATGCAGAGGTTGTCTATCCCTGCTCTATAGTGTACTTGCAAATCTCAGATCCCTACTTGGAAGTGGAGATATGCTAGGATAGTGCTGGATGTAGATCAGATGAAACAGATAGGGTCGACTGTCAGGTGCCTCTACGGATTCAAGCATTAAGGTTGTTTCAAAACAACGGTTGAGTGACTCGCAAGGAAACTACCTACCTTACTGATTGGTTTGATTTGACTTGCTATGTAGGTATGTGCCATTGACGAAGCGTACCTACCTATATTATAGACTGGATAGGTGACGACTAGATCGCGGAATCCGTGTGGTGCCTAATAACACTCCTTAACAACGTATTGTGTACACGACATACATTCACTTGTTGTTGTTTGCCTTTCTGTACTCAAGATCACAGCATGGTCTGTTAGTGACAGTTCCCCGATTTCTGATCCCTTTCGATGATGTGGCTTTTCGTCACAGATGGGTTTTGATGGTAAAATAAAGGACTTGCAGAAGAGATCTGGAGGCACCAACCGGCTATCGATGCAATCTTTGTCCCTTAGATGCAGTTGATCGTGCATAAGCGTGACACTTGAGGTTCATTTGATGTCGTGAACTGCTCCAAGTCAGATGCAATCTAATGCCGTGCGATGATGCTGCCATGGCAGAAAACATGCCATCAGAGAGTCTCTTGCGCAATCCTTTTTTTTTTTTTTTTTTTTTTTTTTTTTTTTTTTTTTTTTTTTTTTTTACCTCTACAGTATGTATATAGAAAAGAACTTCATCTCCTAACTCCAGATGTTCTGCTTCGATTCAGTCAGTCGTCAGCTCTTGGTATCTGGTCCGAACACTTGTTCATCCCGCCCCCTTTTTTCCCCCGCGCTTTCAAAGTAAAGTGAGCGGAAATCTAATCAACAACCGCGTACTACAGCCGTTCAGTCATGCGTGAGTTGCCATGAGGTTCTCACGTCCGCCTTTCACCGGCATCTAATTTCGAAAAGACCATTCACTGACATTTGTGTGGGTTCCAGACAGAATCCGGACCTGGGCTAGGACAAAAGCTCATGGCCCAACGCCTCTGGTTCGCACTAGGTCTGATACTGCGCCAATATTCAGAGCAAGTCAAAGCCGCCGTGGCACGATTTCGACAGCCGAGACTGGCCGCCATGGTTCAGTAGTTGCTGGGGAGCTACAAGCGAAGAAGCCCTCGGCACTGGCGCGCTTCTACAACTGCGCCAACGGGATTCTTTTCTCGCGCTTCTTGAACATAGGCCTGGTCTTTGTACCAGTAGCATTCGCCGTCCGTAAGTTCATCAGTTCCACTTTACACCCCCCTGGTTGTAGGGCACTGGGCGGTCTAGGATATCTCCAAGGCTAGAACGCCGTACACCAGTTGGCTCTTCTCAGGGCTAGGCTCCAAGGAGGTACCTCACCTAACCCTTCCGGATGAGCTGCACTTGTAGCAGTCCTTGATCGTTATGTGCTGCTTGCGTGAGATCCCTAGATTGCTGATTCCCTTGAGGTGGTCTTTGCAGACTTCACGTCCATGCCGGCTGGCGTGGTATTCGGCATAAACGCCGTGGCAATTATTCCTCTGGCCGGGCTCCTCAGCCACGCAACGGAAAGCGTAGCCAGTCGTTGTGGTGACACGGTTGCTGCCTTGATGAACGTCACCTTTGGAAACGCTGTCGAGCTAATCATTTTCATGTGAGTGAATTTTGATCCCCCACAGGATCTTACTGAGCCGATCAAAAGGGGCTTAAAGCTGACGAAGGGTGCGCATATCACAGCATTGCGCTTGTGAAGAATGAAATCCGGATCGTCCAGGCCTCTCTCGTTGGATCAATTTTGGTTGATCTCCTGTTGATCCTGGGAATGTGCTTCATTTGGGGCGGTTTGCGATTTCGCGAGCAGATCTACAACAGCACCGTAACCCAGATGAGCGCTTGTTTGCTCACGCTGAGTGTGCTGAGCTTGATGCTCCCAACCGCGTTCCACGCCACGTTCAAAAACGAGAAGGAGGCGGATACCAAGGTTCTACCGCTCAGCCGGGGAACCAGTGTCATCCTGCTCCTGATTTACCTCCTTTACCTCATCTTCCAGCTACAGTCGCACTCCTACTTGTACGCACCAACGCCAAGACACTTGATTGAACAAGCAGCGGCACCCGGCCCCGCAGCTCATTACTTCAGCTCTAGACGTAACTCGTCTTCATCTCCACCTAGGACTCCTGATGAGAACTCACTACAAGCGCCCCAAGCCATATCGAACGAAGAGGGTGGCACAGCTGGAACACAGGAGAACAGCAGGGGTACAACCATAACAGAGCACAACGCCGCTGAAAGGACGGAAGCTGTCACAGATGACACGCTACACCAGACGCAGGAACTAATCCTTGCTAACCAGCCTGATACTGACACGTTCGCTGTCGATGACGCAAGAGGCCCAGGCCAGCAGGGCGAAACAAAAGACGTTGAGCCGTCGCAAGGCCGAGACCAAAATTCTGGAACCAACGAACATCATGTCGGTCTTGGCCTGGCCCGTGATTTGGAGGCACAGTGGGACATGGCCTCTCGCGCTGCGCCGTTTCTACTCAGATCGCTCCGGCCCATTTCAATTGCTGTTGCCTCCATGCTGGAGAACTCCAACGAAGCGGAGCAACCGGAGCATGGTGCACAAGCACAGTCACTGCGGCGTGTCCAGTCTATGCCGACTGGGACACAGAGGGCTGCGATCAATCGACAGGCACCCGGCGAATTACCGGTAGTAGTCCCCATTGTGGTTGACAGCACACCGGCTTCGCCTCGCAACAGTGAAGAAAAGCCAGCGGCCCAGGAGACAACAGAGGTCGAAGCCATGCCACAGAAAGCCGCCGTGATCCTTCTTCTGGCCTCGACCGGCTTGGTCGCCGTTTGTGCCGAGTTCATGGTGGACTCCATCGATGCAATCGTCGCCCGGGATGCCAACGCAACTACAGGCATCTCCGAAGCCTTCATCGGTCTAGTGCTCATCCCAATTGTAGGCAATGCAGCTGAACACATCACATCTGTGAGCGTGGCACTCAAGAACAAGATGGACTTGGCACTGGGCGTGGCACTGGGCAGCAGTATCCAGATTGCGCTGTTTGTGACGCCGGTAGTGGTTATCTTGGGCTGGATCATGGATCGAGACATGTCTCTCTACTTTACCCTCTTCGAGACTGTCTGCATGTTCGTTAGTACCTTCATCGTGAATTTTCTCGTTAGAGATGGGAGGAGTAACTACCTCGAGGGAGCCCTTTTGGCATCTGCCTACCTCATTATCGCCGTGGCAGCGTTTTACTTGCCAAATCCAAGGTTGGCTAGCTCTGTTGGGTAAGGGTGAAGACAGGATATAGGATGGGAAGTCGGAGTGTGTAGGCTAGATTAGAATGACAGATGAACGGTTATGGTTGAGGCTCAGACCGAAGGAATAGCTTGTTTTGACCAAGAAGGTTTAGGCATTTGCCAACAGCCATATCAGTAAATGTCGTAGCAGAGGCTGCACCAGATGCAGTATCAAAGCCAGTACCAGAGCCAGTGCCAGCCGTGATTGTACCCGACTTGGGACCAGCAGCAGCCGCAATACTTTGCGAGTGGCATTTGGGAAGCATTGATGACGACAAGTGGGAGTTGAGTGTTGGGATGTTTGGAGATGGGATGAGGACATAGGATGATGATGGTTCAAGTGGGTGGAAGGTTTGGATGGAGACGCACTAACAGCGCTAAGTGATGTGGAGACATGGGGAAAGCAAGTGTGGGTCGGAGCTCCAGTGGAATTGGACATGCCAAGCCAGTTTTGCACGCCATCACCGCCAAAATTTTGGACTGTCCGCATTCTGCTGGGTCCAGCCTTTGCAGGGGCAGCAGTCCAGTGCAAACCCAGAAGGCCCCCAATCCATCAACACTTCCTGGAAGTCGGGCGAGTATCGCAACACACTTTCAGCAACATCGATCATCCAAAATGGCGACAGTACTACCACCCCCGTCGAAGCGCCAAAAGAGAGAGGAGATTGAGCGCACCACAACACAGCTCGATGTCGCCCCGATACTGGCGCCTGAGCTCGGCTCCTTCAAGGCCAACTTCGTCGACAGCGATGGCAACCAGATGACCGATGTGATTGAAATCAACTTTGCCGATGCCACCGAAAAGAACATCTCCGTCTTGCTCAACACCCTACTCGAGAGGGACCGCGAAGAGTTTACCCCATACCGATTCCGCATCCATATTCCCGGCAAGGATATCATTGTCGACCAGTACCCTTCCGACCTCCTCGGCCTTCTCAAGCAGCATGGTGTCGAGAACCCCTTCGAGTATGGAAGACCCGGACACAGGAAGCCCAGCACGTAACTGCTTCGCTAACCTCCGCATAGAACCACAATTACCCTTAGTGCTGAGCCCCAGGCTGTTTTCAGGGTACAAGCAGTTTCGCGCCTTGCCCATCGCATTCCCGGTCACGGCCAACCCATCCTCGCAGCCCAATTCTCGCCTATTTCATCCGGCCGCCTTGCTACCGGCAGCGGCGACAACACAGCTCGTATCTGGGATACAAATACAGGTACCCCGAAGCACACACTGAAAGGGCACACCGGCTGGGTCCTCGGCGTCAACTGGAGACCCGATGGAGAGCAACTAGCGACCTGCAGCATGGATGGCACAGTGAGGATATGGGATCCCGAGGCCGGCAAGCCCGTTGGTCAGCCTTTTAAGGGCCACGCCAAATGGGTGTTGATGACGGCGTGGCAGCCGTACCATTTGTGGAGAGATGGCACCCCTAGGATTGCCAGTGCTAGCAAGGATGGTACCTGTAGGATTTGGGTTGTCAACACAGGCCGTACCGAGCACGTCCTGAGCGGTCACAAGAGCTCCGTCGCCTGCGTGCGATGGGGCGGAACCGACCTCATCTACACTGGTTCGCACGATAAGGTTGTCCGGGTATTCGACGCCGTCAAGGGCACCTTGGTACACAGCTTGACATCTCACGCCCACTGGATCAACCATATTGCTTTGTCCAGCGACCACGCCCTGAGGACCGCCTACTTTGACCACACCAAGGACGTCCCTTTCACCGAGGAGGGCAAGAGGGAGAAGGCCAAGGAGCGTTTCGAGAGAGCGGCCAAGATCAATGGCAAGGTTGCTGAGCGCATCGTATCTGCCAGTGACGACTTTACCATGTACCTGTGGGATCCCACCAACAACGGTACCAAGCCCGTTGCTAGACTTTTGGGACACCAGAACAAGGTGAACCAGGTCCAATTCTCTCCCGATGGCACTTTGATCGCCTCGGTTGGCTGGGATAACAGCGTGAAGCTCTGGAATGCCAGGGATGGCAAGTTCCTCAAGAGCTTGAGGGGTCATGTTGCACCCGTGAGTTCCTTACCCACATTCATCTCTTACCACGAGGGCAAAGTTCTAACACGTTGATACTCTAGGTCTACCAATGCTCCTGGTCCGCCGATAGCAGGCTTCTGATAACAGCCAGCAAAGATACCACCCTCAAGGCATGGAATGTGCGCACTGGCACTCTCGCCATGGACCTTCCCGGACACGAAGACGAGGTATGTGAACCAAAACATCCCGACATCGGTGTTCCCACTGCTGGAAAATTCTAACTCGCTTCCAGGTATACGCTGTGGACTGGTCGCCGGATGGCAAGATGGTAGGATCAGGCGGAAAGGACAAGGCCGTGAGGACATGGAGAAACTAAAGAAGAGGGCAAGAACGAACCTTACCCTCCTACAGCCAGCAGTCGGAACCCGAGAGTCCCCGCTCTACTTAACTCGCGGAGGCCTCAGCGGGGTGATACTATGATTCCTGGCCTGCTTCCGTGGTGTTTGCAGCAGTTTGCAGTTCGCACGAACGAACCGGCCTGGGACACTACATGCCCAGGTATCCGCCAGAAACAACTTCCACGGCAATCTTCACGAGCCAAGTTTTCTTGACGTCAGCCTAGCTACTATTATCGGCTCACCAAAGAGGCCTGACCGAGTCAATACGCAACTCGGCTGCACACACCACCTCGATTTGCAGGGTGGTGATGTTGTGTGGCTGTTAAGTGCTTACCGACTGCGCCTCTGCCAAACTTCCAGAATCACTGGGCAGGAGCGAAAGAGGTGAAATGGAATGGGCCTGGCAAATCGGTAAAATCTCCCGCCGCCAGCTCAATGTTACCAAACCGCGCGATCACACCAGGACCTGACCAACAAGACGCTCAAGAGATTTGGAAAATGGAAAGCACCATAGATAGACAGAGACGTGGTCATGTTAGGCGATACCCGGGGGTATCCATTTGAGGTTGGATAGATGCGAGCATTTGATGGAATGGTTCTCATTGCGCGCATCATGCAGGGCGTTACATAGGTGCCACGATATAGACAAGGATAGTGATATGCATTCATGGCAACCTAGAGAGACGTTGATTAATCATGGCGTTTGGAGCTAGTGAAACAGCCGTTGATGTTCAGATTTCCGAATACCTAACTTTCGAAGACGGCATATGTTCAACTTTCCCGAAGCAATAGACCGGAGGTAGCAAGAACCACGCACACTGCGAGCCTTTTTTTTTTTTTTTTTTTTTTTTTTTTTTTTTTTTTTTTTTTTTTTTTTTTTTTTTTTCGAAGCATCCCTCGAAGGACGGAAGCTGCCACTGGTCCTATGGGTCCCGGTCTGTAGCAGGCAAGAGCAGGAGGCAGCCTTCCACTTCCCCGCCCCTCCGTGCCGCGTCGGGTCCAACGTCGCCCCCGCTTTTTCCAGGTATGTTTCCAGGCCTGGGAAACGTACGCTAGAAGACGGCAAGTCCAACGGTCATTGATTTCAATTTTCATCTGTTTCTTCTTCTCTTGTCACTTTTTCTTGTGTTGTTCACAAATGCCTCACAATTTCTTTGTGATTGAGTTTGTCCGTCACACCAATAAAGAAAGCATTCGGTTATGCCTCATGCTTTTCGCGATGACATCTTTGATTAGCAAACTTGGTGAGCTATTTCCTCTAAAGCGGCAAGTGAATGGTGGAAATATCAACCAATACGACGTTGAGATGGAAGAATTGGAAGCTTCCATCTCCAACAAGCCCTTGTGCTCCAGAAAGAAAACCAACCTTTTCCAATTTCTGGTTAAAAACCTTGTTCCCCAGCCTTCGTCAACAGCCAACCGCAACCTTCGAAATACAGTGGTATCTCGGGAGATATCGGGACACGCCTTGCCTCATTCATTCATGTCACACCCACTTGAAACGGCAAGCCATGGATTCCATGCGACTGAAACTCTGGGCATTGTTCTGGGCTTTTGGGCGACGTTCTTAAGTTCCCTTTTACACTACAAGTCAACTACATAGGGGTACCTAGACAGCTGCGCCTTCTATGGGTGGCTTGGTCAGTGGATACACCGACCGGTACAGAAAAGCCCAAATCTCCCCTCCCCCGCTTCTGCTGTCATCGATAGGAATTGCCCCTGATAGACGTTTATTTCTTGGTTGTCTGTCGATCGAAACACATCGCGAAACAATCCCCTTCCATCCTTTTTGCATATCACAACTTTCACTTGTATACGCTGAAGGCATCGTCAGCCTCATCTGACCAAAGTCCTCTCATCACCTCTCAACATTTATTGTCATAAAAAGTCGATTTTAAGTCCTCAACCACCTAGCTTACAGCCGGTCTGGCAAGCGCCGCCAGGCAGCTCCTTTTGCAGATCTGCCGATCCACGGAATGAAGCGAGACCGACCCGACTTTACCTCTAGTGTAAGGTACACTAGTTGTCTGGTATGGAGGTCTGTATAGGTGATCGTCAGTTCGGGCATCAGGTCTAGTCCGTCCAAGCCGCACGTTTTGAAAGCTGTCGATCCTACTGGACACCTTGGTGGTACCGCGTTGAAGATCTGGCCGGATAAGTTTTGACGAAAAGCTTCGCTCTGCCGGCCGCACGCGAAACTAATAACAATAGCAGCAATAACGGCGACAATAAGTGGAAGTCAACGACGGCAGAGCTAGGTACCTAGAGGTAGTGTGTATCATGGTCACCGCAAAAACCGCAAACGCCCTTCTTACTCGCCTCTCTGCCTCACCCCGTGATCGGAGTCCGGAGATTTCATGAAGGATTTTGAGCAATGCAATGCCGTGTTCGTGTAGCCCAGTCCTTTATACTGTCTTTTTTCCACTCTGTCAACCAAAGGAGTCTGCGGAACCCACTCTGGATACCTCTACGATCAAATCATCTCTTTTTCGGGACTTTTTCTTCGCCATGAGCTGTGTGTACCCATCTAGTAAACCATACTTTGAATGGGTTGCCAAACAACAGCCACACCGTTGTTTATAGATGATGATAGCATCGCACCGCGTTCACCAAAAACCCATCCCACCATCGCTTGTCAGGTCGGAAATTGGGAAGCATGCAATGCGCCTCTGACTTTGACCATCTCCATCAAACCGCCTGCCGGATCGACGGCGTCTTACAGCCGGCTGCTGGGCCGAGTTCCTATGTCTTTTGTCTCTACTTATTTGGATGGGCTGTGGTATTCGAGTGAAATACCCTATCATTCTAGGATTTCAGAGGCAATTTGATATCCGCGGTTCATGCAAAGAGCTTGGATACAACTACACTACATGGGCCAACGTTAGGTAGAGGTAGCTTCGTTCAGTTTCTTCCCTTCTAACACTCGAGACTTGGATGAGGGTCAGCGTCCATCTACACACGGGAGATACTTCCCCAGTGATCCTCTCCCCACGTGTGTCTGAGTCTGTAAATGTACAACTGTCGTCCTCCATTCCCATGTTCCCATGATTGCACTAGAGCTATTCTAGTTTAGGGCTCAGGGATTACCCGATCCCCAGTCTGTTACGCAATAAAAGAATACCTGTCGATGCTGCAAGATACCAGCCTTGCGGATATGTGTACACCCCATTTTCAAAGGCAAAAACAAGAGCGCTCAATCCCCCTACATCGCGAGTCAAGGCGTACAAAGGTTCTTGTGGGAAGCTTGACGCTATATTCCAGGCAAACAAGCCTACCGCATCGATGAGTTTCGGTTCCTCGTTCGGGAGGCAGCAGACATGGATGGGCTGAGAAAAACGATGGTGCTGGGAAGAACAAGGTGTTGATCCAGGCTGGTAGGTCAGTGGGGAACGGTTAGTGCGATACTTCTATCCTACAGAAAACCAGGATTTTTTGATGGCGTATGCGCAAGTCTTTTGTCAGGCTCTGTCATCTGCCACCGGTCTGCACTAACCGAGTATGATCATGTTTGCATAGGTATGCAATCTTCTCGCAGCGTTGATCTCGGCACTTATAACTTCACACTCGATGGACGTTTACAGACGAGGCTCCTGGGTCAAAGCACATCACGTTCACTGTTATATTAGTGCCGGCTGGAAAAGACGTCCAAGGTAGTAGGTATTGTTTGGCGAGCACATTTGATGGGTTCCTTCCTTCAGTTAGGTACTCCTTCCCTCGGCCACAGGCTGCGGACTCTGGAATTCAATCACGAGCATCTTTACGACCAACGTGTTGCTACACCGGTATGCGGTTTGGGTAAGGCCAAGACCTATTTGCTAACAGCTGTTTCCTTGAGCTCATCAGCTGCCGCAGACATGTGGCCTTTTGGAAGCTGCGTAATGAGACGTAGGATTACGTGATAGGATATCAGGAAAGAGGATGGTGGTTGTAAAGTGATGAGTGGTGTTGGTGAAACGAAGCAAGCCCCAGCTTGGCCTTGGCTGCTTACCACTTTACAGGTCCAGAAAAGATGGACACAACCGTCTCCAAGAAGAAGAAGGAGATAAGCAAGCACGTTTGACACCGGGCCTTTGCAATCTCGAGTCTCACTAAAGTTGAAAGACCAAATCGGGAGAATTGCACGGGAACGTCATGCTCGTGTCAAATGGGAGCTGCAGTCCGTTCTGCATCCTGAGGTCAGGTCAGACCGTCACATAAAAGGATAACGAGTAAGCTTGAAGCTTCTGGCAGATGGTAAGACCAAAGGATGGGAAGAATGGAATGAAGTTTCCCGTCCGTGTCGAGACTAGATGAAGTCGACAAAAAGACAACCACCATGTCACTTTGCTCCGGACCCCAAACCCTTGTCAAGTTGCGGCCCCTCACCTCGGCGCTCATCCACATTCCACGGCCAGTGCGCCCATCACGATTTCAACGTGATCCCTGTCATCAACAGGGGAAATTCAACCTGTTCCGTGGCGCAACTGCCAAAACGTGCTTCCTTCATGGCCCTCTTTAAGTCTTCATCACGATGACAGGGTCAGCAGAGGACAGAGTTGTAAAAACTCGAGAAGCAGGAGCGACTGGGACCAAGGCACACTAGTAGTACATACCTTCGGTACCTCTACGTAGTCATGATACATCGGTACGCCTCATATTGCAGATATTGGATGAAAGTGACAAGGCAGAAGGACCTGGTCAAGAAAAACAATCAGGCAAACAGGGCCTGAGACAATTCTGCTACCCAAACAAATTGCTCGGCCGTGACCCAGCCATTCGTACTAGTATAGAGGTAGGTAGAGAGGACTGAAAATTGCATGTTCAAAATCTTCTTCACTTGACAGAACATACCCACACCACTTTTTTTTTTTTTTTTTTTTTTTTTTCCTTCTTCCTATTGCAAGTGTTGTGTTGAGGTACCGAAGAGGTACCGGAAAAGAGGCCGTGTTCTGCTTTTCGAGAATTTGTATGGCCCAGCCCATCTCGGACTGGCTTGTGGGATTTCTATTTGGTATCCCCGGCCCATACGGCCCCGCCTTCCCGTCGACACATCCTCGATCGAATCGAGTGATCCGCGGCCCAAAATAAGAATCACCGAAGCCCCTCCACTCTTCCATGTGTTTCGTGATTTCCATTTTGCTGGAGTCCTCACATCCCCGGTCATCATCTTCATCGAAACGCGCCATTCTGTCGTCCTTGACTCTTTCCCACAATACCCGAAGCTACCTCTGTCTGCCTCTGTTCCTGTTATCATCAGCAACGTGACCCATTCCCGGACAAAAAGGTCCTATCATCCCTCAAGACCAAACCAATAGTTCTTGCCCTTCTCCAAGTAAGTGAGTTTTGTTCAGTTTCCATTATACATGTCCCCAGTTTGCATTACACCGACATGTCCCATTGACGTGATCGTGCCGCTCCTGAGCTGGGAAACTACCATGCTGTCGAGCCGGTCTTGCCTTTTTGTTCACTGTGAGTACCGTGGGCATGCTACCTACCTAGGTAGGAACGGAAATAGGGCCAGCAGCGGGATGGCAGGTCACTCGGTTTCTTTGTGCATTAGCTAGCTCGCTGCTTGTTACGTCAGTGTCGGTCAATGCAGTCTTTTCAAGCTGGGCTCCACTACAACGCCGGGCTGCTCAAGTTCCTCAGCACTACATTCGTCATCGCCCTGTTTCTTTACCCGGCTCGTCCAGTCGACGGCCGTCTACAAGCAACTGTTTCGATACCTTTTTGGGCAGCTTCACCCAACTACCCCGCTGCATGTGTCTGGGCAGAAGATGTCAAGGAATTGCATCCAATTGGGCTGACACTCGATAAATAAATAAAAAGTTTCCTTTCTTCTTCCTCCCAAAGCAAGAATCACGTCTTTGAACCCAGTCCATTACATCCATCCACTGCCACTTCCTTCACCGGTATTATCCCCCTGGCAGCAGAGACCCAAGAGTAATCGCGCCTTCCAGCCCAAGCACTACTTTGAAACTAAGGTATGCTGCCTACCCTGCCCGTGACCCCGTGGTCTTGGTCATGCTCTATGTACTAGCTTCTCCCGTGTCCTTTGGTCATTTTTTTTTCTCACATTCCACCAAATCACATCCCTTCTTCTTCCCTTTTAACTAACCTAAGAGTCCCCCTCCTCAGGCGGAAGCTCGACCATCTCCAACCTCCTCAACTTCTGCCGAGTCCCGCATTCTTGACTCGTCCTTCCTTACGCACGTCCATTGTCTGCACCGCTCTCTCGTCTTGTTCGCCTTCGACATAGAACGCCCGGTTTCTGCGCCTCACAGATTCTGACGCGACCAAAAAGTCCTGATACAGCCCTCGACGCCCTCGAGCTCGGCGACGCGTTCACTGCCATATCTGATGAGCACAATAGACGACCGATAGCAGACATCTCGGTCGCCGTCACCTCCATCAAATCTATATACCATTTCAGCAGATTATACCGTCTTTTCAAGTTTCGACAAAGCACTAACAGCCGCCCACCATGACTGTGTTCATTGCCTCGCTGTAAGTTCTCACCAGTTTGGACTCTTTTTTACATTCCATGCGTTTGCATTGCATCTCTGCACCAGGCTACCTTGTCCGACCCTTCTAACCCCTCGGATGGGTGGGTCCGGACAATGAAAAGATGCGAACGAGGGCATGGATATATTTACTGACTTACCGGAAACCTTTACAGCTTTCTTCCCAAGACCGTTCATTTCAACCTGCCTGGTGCCCGGCCAAGAGGGGCTTCAGCCTCCCAGAAGCCGGCCAGCAAGGCCAAAAAGCTCGCCCCCAACACTCCTCCCAGCCTCTTCCAGCCTGCGCCTAGTCACATTACTCCTCCGCACACACCGACGGAAGACCGCAAGCATCATGACCCTTGGGCAAACGAGGATGGGTTAAAGGTGCAAATTCCCCAAATGCCCTTCTCTCCCGATGGTAGCTACCGTGCTCCAATCGATCGAAGCTCTCCGACATGGGGCGGCCGGCCGGACCAGCCGATGTCCCGTGCGAACTCTCCCCCGCCTCCTTCCCTGATCAACAGCAGCCGTGCTCTGAACCAGAAGGCCAGAGAAATGGGTCGCCAAGGCATCACGCAGCCACGGAGCCTCGTGAGAAGTGAAAGCCATGATCGAGTGTTCGCACACGCCGACTGGAAGATCGTTAGCGCCGATCAGGGTAACGGTGGCTTGCGCAACGCCGCCGAGGCAGCTGCCAGGGATGGCAAGCTTGGAGAGTACACATGGATTGGCACGTTGGGCATGCCCACGGATGCTCTCCAAGGTACTCAGCAACTTCAGGACATCGATGACAGACTTGCCACTGAGCACGACATGCTGGCTGTTTTCTGTTCAGACAAAGACTTCGACGGTCATTATTCCCACTTTTGCAAGCAGATCTTGTGGCCCGTTTTCCACTACCAGATTCCGGACAACCCAAAGAGCAAGGCGTACGAGGATCACTCATGGAAGTACTACGTAAACGTCAACCAGGCGTTTGCCGACAAGATTGTTAAGAACTGGAAAAAAGGAGACACGGTCTGGATCCACGATTACCACCTCCTCTTGGTCCCTGGAATGATTAGGAAGAAGATTCCCGAAGCCAAGATTGGGTTCTTCCTGCACGTTGCCTTCCCTTCTTCGGAGGTCTTTAGATGTCTAGCTGTTCGCAAGGAGTTGCTTGAAGGCATGCTCGGCGCCAACCTCATTGGATTCCAGATCCGTGAGTATGCCAGACATTTCCTCCAAACTTGCAGCCGCATTCTGAGCGTTGAGGCCACCCCGGATGGTCTTCAGCTCGAGGACCGTTTTGTCGACGTCATCAACCTCCCGATCGGTATTGACCCTGTTAGCCTCAGTCGTCACCGTGGTGAGAGTGAAGTTAAGCGCTGGCTGGACATCATGCGTGAGCGCTATGCAGGCAAGAAGCTCATCGTAGCGCGCGACAAGCTTGACCACGTCCGCGGCGTGCGCCAGAAGCTCCTCTCTTACGAGATGTTCTTGAACATGAACCCTGAGTGGAGGGACAAGGTCGTTCTGATTCAGGTTGCCCTTTCAACAAGCGAAAAGAGCGAGTTGGACGCTACCGTTTCTGACATTGTGACCCGCGTCAACTCTTCGTGGGCCAACTTGGCATATCAACCTGTGGTCTACCTCAAGCAGGACATCGACTACGCCCAGTACCTTGCGTTATTGAGCATTGCTGATGCTCTCATGATCACCAGTCAACGTGAAGGCATGAACCTTACATCCCACGAATATCTTTTCTGCCAGGATGGCAAGTTCAGCGAGAAGAAGCACGGCTCATTGATCCTTTCTGAGTTCACGGGTACTTCCTCGTTGTTCAACGGAAATGAGCTGTCGGTGAACCCTTGGGATTACAGGGCTTGTGCAGATGCCATCAAGAAGGCTCTCGAGATGGAAGGCGAGGAGAAGGAGCGCCGCTGGAAGAACCTATACGAGGCCGTCAACGTTCACACAGGCTCGCATTGGTTCTCAGAGTTCATGCTCCGCCTAGATAAGGTCTACGAGGAGCAACATAGCCGCGACCAGACCGCAGTACCTCGCCTCTCGATGACCACGTTGTTGCAGCAATACGAGCGCACTAAACGCCGCCTTTTCATCATTGACTTTGAGGGAACCCTTGTCAGCTGGGGCCCCGTTAATCAAATCATTCCGGTCAGCCCTCAACGCACCCTGGATGTTCTCAACGATCTTCTGCTCGATGAGCGCAACACTATTTATGTTATGTCTGGTAGACGTCCAGAGGAGCTGGATCGTATCTTCCGTCGCGTTACTAACCTCGGCTTGATCGCCGAAAGCGGATGCTACCTCAAGGACTGCGGAAGCAACACTTGGACCGAAATGGCCGATTCCAACAAGATCCGCTCTTGGAAGAGTTCACTCCAGGACATCATGACCTACTACTTGGAGCGTACGCCGGGAGCGGCGATTGAGGAACGTCGCTGCTCCTTGGTGTTCCACTACAAGTCTGCGGATGATTACGAGACGGCCGCTACACAAGCTTCCGACTTAGCCAGCCACATCAATGACGCCTGCGAGGACCAACGCGTTCACGCCATTCCGATGGACGGTTGCGTGCTTGTTGAGCCCATAGACTGGACCAAGAGCACCGCGGCCCAGAAGATCTTTGATGACTTGCAGAAACGGATGGGGCCGGATGAGAAGCACAAATCACCGGTTGACTTCCTCATGGTTGTTGGCGACGGTCGTGACGACGAGAAGGTCTTCAAGTGGGCCAACCAGTTGGGCACTGATGGAACAGTACAGGAGGTGGTGACTGTCAGCCTTGGCAATAGAAACACTGAGGCTAAGACGACGTTGACCCAGGGCGTTAGTGGTAAGCAGATCTCTCATTTGTTTCTCTCGTTTTTGTTCTGAACCAGTTACTAATGTGGTTTATGTAATTTGGTAGGCGTTCTCGCAGCTCTCCAGAAGCTATCCCAAGTCGTGTAAGCAGTAGCCTTCTCTTTGAGGCCACATTTACCGACTCATGACATATAGGGTTCCTGCTGAGCATCAGCGTCGTCGAAGTTCTATAACTGTTCCGTCTCTCGTCAATATGTGAGCAATCCGGGCGTTGCTTGTTTGCTTTGCTGCAGCATCCCCCCTTTTGCGTGGCGTTTTGCGTTGGTGGAATTTTTGGCATTTTGTATCGCAAGTCCTCTCCAGTATTGGAGGGTGCCTGCTTTCAATGCCTTCTCTCCTTTTATGATTTGTTTTCTTTTCACTTCATTTTCGTCAATTTTTTCTTGCAGCACCACACACATGTTCATCGATATGCCCAGCGACCTGCGATCATCAAGCACTGCATGGCAAAATCTGAAAGCTAAGGGAACTCATTTAGCGACAGAAAGGACACGGTCTTGACGAACACGACAATGGGCGGCGGTGTATACATGTATGGTGGTGATTCTCTTTCTTCTTTTACGGCAACAATGACACGTGGTATGGAAAGCATGGGATTATGGGAAACGGAAAATGGGGCGCATCATGATCATTCTTACACTGCACCACAAGGTAGTATATATATATAGAATAAGGTACCTAGCCAGGCGCTGGCATGGTTCATCGGTTTCTTATACGGCTTCTCTTTTTTCGTCTGTTTGTGTTTTCTTGTCGAGATAACTTGAACGTATTTGTGATATGCGTCGAGACAAGCCGCAAACATATGAATCAGATATTACTCACAGTATTGTCGGTACGGTTGTCCGGTCGAGGTTGTCACAAACAGCAATTTGACATGATGTGTGTGGACACTACTATAGAGGTAGAGAGCAAGTGAGAGAGGTGTATGTAGGACTGCACGCTGGGCGTTGCATTCGATGTATTTCGAAGACTAGGCACTCGCTCGCGTACTTGCCCCGTCGTACGATGCAATGCTTATATGTACCTATTAATACTACTTCCAGCCTCAAAACTCCCGTCTCGGTCATATAAGGAAGAGAGAATATAGACGGTCATTGAGGGAAATGTCGCGATGGTGACGATGACATCACTTCCCCAGAACTGTCCACATCTTCGTTGCTACCTAGCTGTATTGTTCATAAAGGACAGCATCCCTGACCTCCCACTGCGGAATGCCCCTGGGCTATGATGCTTAGTGCGGGGCAGGGCAGGTGAAGAAATGGCGGGGCAGTAAAGTGCTGTGTCATCAATCAACCCCTGTCAACTTACACGTACCTACGGCAACGATATCGGGCGTCCGGCATTGATGCATGCGTCTCGGCCGTATATCGGAGAGCCGCAGGATCCTTGGGAACCTCGATGACTGAATGACCGTTTGTCTCTCTTTTTTTTTTTTGGCCTTCTTTTCGTACTCTAAACAAGTTCTGAGCAGATAGACTTGATAATTCCAAAGTGTTAGCGGTACAGGTCAGTTACGTGCTTCTTCGAGTTAGGCCTGCAAATTGTTGCGGTTCGTCTGAGGGAAATTTGGTATTATTTATCCATGTTGCACAAAGATATACATCGCCTGAACTGTTCTGAGATTCATCTGACAATCTTGCGCCACTCTACTTGTCTTCTACCTCTACCAGTCTTGACCCCTCAGCTGGCCACCCCCCTCAACTGGCCACATCCACACCGCTGTTTCCCCTCATGCAACATCACCACCCTGCTTCTCCCAACAACCACAATTGCATCAAATCAAGCCCGATCGCGTTCGTTTCTACTGCAATGAGCTCGCCTTTGATTGAAGAAGCGCTTGAGGCTATTCGCGACGGACTTTCCCAGCGCGCAGCAGCGAAGAAGTATGGGATTCCACGGTCTACCCTCGGCAACCGTGTCAAAGGCATTCCTACCAAACGCGACGTCAAAATCCCCCACCAGAAGCTATCGCCAACGCAAGAATCCTTCATCTGCAGATGGATATTGAATGAGGAGAAGGCCGGCCGTGCTCCCAACCGTCGTCAGGTGTCAGGATTCGCGTCGTCGATATTGAAAAGAGGAGGCGACTATGACAAGCTGGGCGCCCGTTGGGTAGACCGATTCCTGAAGCGCAACCCCAATATCAAGACCAAGCTTTCGAAGCCGCTCGAGTCAGCGAGAGTTAGAGGGTCTACCCGGGAAGCCTTCACGAAGTTCTTCGACCTTCTGGAAGTCCAGATTCGCGACAAGGGTATTATCCCAGCCAATATATCGAATATGGATGAACATGGTCTTCAAGAGTTGGAATCTAAGGATGGCAAAGTGCTTGGGTCTACCCTGACGAAGAAGGCATACGTAACAACGACCGACGCAACCGCTTGGGTATCCATTATCGAGTGTGGGACCGCTGAGGGCAAGAGGTTGACTCCCGTTGTCATCTTTTCTGGTACCAACCTCCAGGGACAGTGGTTCCCTGACGATATGGACGATGAGCTCAAGAGCTGGAAATACGATAGTACATTGACTGGATGGAGCAATTCAGAGATTGCTTTACGCTGGTTGAAGGAGGTTTACCTTCCTGAGACCCAGGTTGATGGCTGGCGTCTCTTGATTCTCGATGAGCACTCGAGTCATCTATCTGACGATTTTCTCGTTGAGGCATTTCAACACAACGTTCAACTACTCTTTTTACCTCCCCATACTTCTCATAAGACTCAACCACTCGATAAATCCGTATTTGCCGCCGTCAAGTTATATTTTAGAGATTCAACAAAGGATTACGCTAGCTTTCCAGCATCTGCACCAGTAAATAAACAACGGTTCCTCCAGTGTTATCAGGAAGCATCACGACAAGGCGTGAGCTCCAGAAACCTCAGATCAGGGTTCAAAAAGACTGGTATATGGCCAATGAACAGATCTGTTGTGCTTGACGACCCCGACGCTGTCATCAATGACAGTGCCCTCCCTCTCCAGCCATCACCACCCAAAACGCCACCCAGAAACGAAATATCTGAGGTCAACCACATTTTCAAGACTCCCCAGAAGTCCAGGGATATGTTGGGAAGCATTCACAACAAGTTAGCTGCTGTTGACCGTGATATCCGGACTATTTACACCAAAGCAGCCAAGGCGCTTGATGATAAGAACGCTGAGCTCGCCGCTAAAGATCACCAGCTTCAATATTTACAGACCAAGCTGGAGTCACTCAAGCCACGGGGTAAAAGGAAGGTTAAAGAAGGGGGTAATGATAAATTTGCACGTGTAGAGAGTATAATCGAGGCTCGTGAAGCCTCAAAGCAAGCCCCCAAGCGCCAGCGGGTTGCTACGGTAACGACGACGTCGTCATCACTACAACCCATCGAGAGAGCTGTTGAGTCAATACTCCAGACCATTCATGAGCATCAGGATTAGTCAATAAACATTTCAAATGGTTGAAATCGCTGCAAAAATGGCCAATTTTCAATGTTATCCGACTACTGGTTATGGCTGGGGATGTGGCCAGTTGAGGGGGGTGGCCAGCTGAGGGGTCAAGACTGGTAGGTACCTACTTTTAACATTCCCGAAGCTGACAAAGAATCATCCCCAGAAACTGTTGACCAGAATACGTGCAACCTCTTCAACAATATTCGCTGTAGACCAGTTCTAGTTCCGAAAAAAAGATCCGCGCCATGGCGAACTTCCCTCCTCCTCCGGTCAGCACCATCGACTGGTCCAACGTCGGATTCAAGGTCCGCGAAGGTGGGTAGTCGAATAGACTCGAGTCCCTGCATCTCTTCTGCCAGATCCCTTCTACCTCTACACATCTAGTCGCCTGCGGCCATCCATGTTCCAATGTATCCATGGGTTGGACGAGAGAATACAATGGGCCAATCTCCGCGACTACGCGTAACACGAAAAAAGCAACAGTCCGCTAACGTCTAACCATTTTCACTTCACAGTCAACGGTCATATCGAGTCTTCCTACTCCGTCAAGACGGGAAAATGGTCCCCGCTCAAGTTCGTCAGCGACCCCTACTTGCGTATGCACGGTATGGCGCCCGCCCTCAACTACGGCCAGCAAGCGTACGAAGGGCTCAAGGCCTTCCGTCTTCCCGGCAACGACTCGATTGCCATTTTCCGCGCCGACAAGAACGCGAGCCGCATGCAGCACTCGGCCGAGTACATCAGCATTCCGCCCGTGCCGGTCGACTTGTTCATTGATGCCGTGAAAGCGGCCGTGGCTCTCAACGCCGAGTTCGTCCCACCCCACGAGACGGGCGCGGCCCTCTACATCCGCCCTCAGATCTTTGGAAGCTCCGCGCAGCTCGGTCTCAGCCCGCCCGAGGAGTATCTCTTCTCCGTCTTTGTTATCCCTACGGGCGTGTACCATGGTACTCACCCCGTCAAGGCGCTCATCCTGGAGGAGTTTGACCGTGCCGCGCCCAACGGTACCGGTAGCGCCAAGGTTGGTGGCAACTATGCGCCTGTGCTCCGCTGGAGTGACAAGGCCCGCAAGGAGGGCTATGATATCACCCTCCATCTGGATAGTGCTAGGCACGAGGAGGTCGACGAGTTTAGCACTAGTGGGTTCATTGGCGTTCTTCGTGGCGATGGGGGAGAGGATGACGTTACTGTTGTTGTGCCCAGCTCCAAGGCCGTGATTGATAGTGTCACAAGCGACAGTATCCAGGAGATTGGCAGGAGCTTTGGCTGGAAGGTGGAGAAGAGACCGGTAAGTGATTTCTGTCTGCTGCTTTCTATTTCCCTTCTTACCTCTACCTTGTGTCTATGCCGACCTCTGCCCGGTTTTGTCCTTGGTGTTTTGTGATCACGGCATGGTGCCAAGATCGGACCAGGGACCTGGGAGTGGTGGAGGCTTCGATTTCAGATGCAAGCCGAAAGCAAAGTGCAACGGAGGGCATCCTTGGTGTAGGGTCCAGGCCTTGGGTGCCTTACTACCTCAACCTTGCTAATACCTTCCTTTTTACCGGAGAATGACTGCCGAACGGAAGGAGTGTTCCACAACAGTCGGAGATATTCTTTCCCATGGATCTCAACCGGATATCTGGATCGGATCAGTTGCTAACACCCTATTTTACCACCCACACAGATCAAGTACTCTGAACTCCCCTCCTTCTCCGAGGTCATGGCCGCTGGTACCGCCGCCGCTCTCGTCCCCATTCGCTCAATCACCAGACGCGTCAAGACGTCATCTCCCCAGTCACTCGCTTCCAGCAGTGCTACCCAAGAGCACGCTCGTGTCTCCTTCAACAAAGAGGCCGAAGAGGAAACAGTCACCTACCTCCCTGATAACCAGGAGGACGCCGGGGACCTTTGCCTTAAGCTTCTCTCCCAGCTTAAGGGAATTCAGCTCGGAAAGATCGAGGATAAGCTCGGCTGGCGCTTTGCGGTTACTGAGGAGGATGGAAAGAAGGCAGAGAGTGCGGAGAAGGCTCGTTCTGATGAGGGTAAGGGTAAGGAGGCGCAGGCCGTTGACCAGATGGATTAGAAGACTAGCTGGGAGGGGTTTTCCTGGGGGATGGCATAGAGGTAGAATGGCAAGACGATACAGCGCAACGCCTGCTTCGACTTGATATGGCACATATGACAGGGGACAAAATTTTGAGCCCTTTCTTGCAAAGGTCGTCGTACATCTAATCGGTATTGCGATCTAGGCGCTCGAAGCACAGTGAACATTGCCTTAAGGGGGTTTGCGTGATGCACCTGGTAACATGCAGGTTGGTACCAAAGGGAGGAGCTTGCGAGAAAGGACATCACATGTCTAAAGGGAACTCACCGAAACACGTTAGAGTAATCGCGGTGCATGTGGGAAGATAAAAGGCGGGCTTCCAAGCTGGAGGCTTTGTGAGTGGTCTTTGCAAATATTTACGACTGCCCTTTTTTCGGCTCTTAGCTCCAATGGTTGTCTGGTCGCGTGTGACATGATGTGCCTCCGTCTTATCTGAACAATGTCAGACCACTAGAGGTGTATTACAAAGGCATGAGGAGATGAAGATAGAAAGAGCAAGCTAAGGTATGGCTTGAGGCTGTGCAAATCGTTCAAAATTGATGTCGCGAATTGTTTTCAAATAAATAACGTAAAAAAAGCAAAAATGTCAGAAGCTTCCCCGCACACAAAGGATGACATGCGAGGGGAAGCGCCTAAAGCGCCCAGGCCGGGAACGATGGTCGGGGGGTCGATCTAGGGGGTGGGTGGGTGGGTGGAGACCACCATTCCGTACGCCTTGACCAAATCTTGGCGAAACAACCTTATTTCAATGTCACTCCTTGGAGCGAACAACACCAAACGATACTTGACGATATGTAATTCCTTTGTGGTCTTTCTTTCCCTTTCGTACAATTCCGTCAGCGCTCAAAGGCCCTCCAGCGATGACTATCTTCTTGATGACTGAAGGTCTCACCCCCACCAGGTCAGACACCTCCACGTCCGCGATCCTGCCATCCAGTCGGCCCTCTTGGATCCTATCCGTCTCCTCACCGTCGCTTCGTTCCATTGCATATAAGAGTTCCGGGATCTGGACCTCTGCTTTTGCACAGTCGCAAAGTCGCACGCACGCCCCAAACGAACTGAAGCGAGATGTCGGTTACCCCCAACCAATCACGTTCCACCGCTTCATGAATCCGACACTGGGAAGTTGAGCCGCCTACAGTGTGTAGTGTACGCGCGATTTTTCTCTGTTTTCTGCTCCTTGTTTCAACCGCGGGTCACTGCCATCACCCACGCTCAATCCCGGCCGGTCCTGACAAGAGAGAGTGAGGAGGCCTCCCGGACCGGAAAGTTCCAGTCCCTCTTCTTCCCATCTAGTCCAGCCCTTTCAACAAGACCATCCATCCAGCCAGCCCACGTGCTACTCCTTGTTAGGAAACTCGAAGAAATTCGATGGAGTGAGTGGCAGTGCTGCTGATGCAACTACACAATGCAAAATACCAGACTTGCACATCAAAAGATCAGATAGGTACCTACCTAAGCTCCACGCACATGTCCAATGCTGTGTTGAAGCAGGATCGTCGCAAAGGAATATTGCAGTCCGGGCTGAGAGCTCGAGCTCGAGGACTTCACCCAGCATGATGGGTATGGAGTGGTTGGCATCGAGGGCTGGTGATACGGTGGACCAGAAGTGGGATGAATGGGGTAAACGAGATGAACGCCGACGAACAAGAACTCATCATCTTTGGTGGGAGGTTCAATACAGTCTTGTTCCCGGCTTCCTTGGACTGTGAGCATAGAGGTAGCCAGATCCCCTGCTCCAAGTCTCCTTCCTCGGGTCTCGAGTCCAGTACGACAGGATGGAAGTTGAGTGGGGGGGCTCAAAGCTATGCCTCCACCTCTTTTCCTTGCCCCCGAGTGGTTGAAGTTTCGGTATGCCTGATCTGGAAGTGTAGGTGGTGTTTGGAATGCTAATATCAGGTTGACTTTTACCCGTCTGCTTGTATCTTGTGGCATCTGGCATCATGCCAGGCGGCTTTGCTGTGAATGGACCATCATTCATCCCATGTCCAACTGTTTTTTTAGGATACACTACATGTATGTTCTTGACTTACACCTCGCTGTTAAATCGACAAGGTCGCTTGCCAACTCCAACGCACGCCCAGCAGGCATTATTTCTTCCACCGTCATCACCAGGCCGTGCACCATCCAGTGGGGTGCAGTCCAGTGCAGCCCTCTGCAGTGAACCCATAGCCCAAGCACAAGCTTAGGCCCAGCCTCATTGCTCAAGAAGTGTTATTGCTTTATGCATGCTCACTCAGTAGGTATGCGGTTCCGGGGCTTTCACAGCTGCTTTGCGTCAGACAGTCAGTCTGCCGTCTGTCATGTCAGCTGTCAAATGCCCTGGTTAGGTCGGGACCGGGAACTGGAATCTCCCCAAATGCGGGCAAGTTGCCCTTCTCACTACCCCATGCAACAAAAAAAAAAAAAAAAAGAAAAAGAAAAAAGAGAGGCGTTTCACAATACCACGAATATCCGGCGCTGATATCCCTGTCCGATCGATACCCTGCCTTGTGCGCCCCCCTCACGACGACGGCCGGACCTCCTCTTATCATCCCTGCCTTAGCTACCTGCCTACTACCTACCTACCTTACCTCCAAACCGGCCGGCCAGGCTAGCTTTTTCGAGCATAACGCTTATCGCTCCTCAAAGACTGGACGTCGGCTCGAGTCCACAGAGGATGACAGGGTTTGACGGGAGCCTCTCCCTGTTGGCGGGACTGGTTGGCCTCTTATTCTTCGTTTTTGCCATCCTTCCACCAGATACGAGTGATCCCCGACTATATAACCGGCCGAGGGAGCTGTATCGAGCTGCTTCAACTTGTGAGGGCCCTTTAAGCGAACAGTAGAACTCCCGTCTCTTTTGCTTTTCGAATTCTTTGTTGTGTGTGGGTGGTGGTCGTGCTTTCCATCGCCTGCGCTTGGTTCTTTTCTCCATACCTGCCTACCTACCTACCTACACTCATCGATCTATCTAGGTGTATCCAGATCCTTTGCAGGGTCCCCCCTTACTTACGTCCCTTACGGCACGTCTCTTTCCATCTCAATTGACTTCACTTCCATCTCTTCAGTCCTAAAAAAAGATGGACAACGACACTACAGCAGCCCCCAAACCAAGCTCGGGTCCCACCAACACGACCATCAGAATCGAAGAACCATCCTTCCCCCCTAAAGACACCAATGATCCCGACCGAGACCGAGAACCTGCAACCGGTGTCTCAACCGGCGTGAACTTTCGTTCGAGAGGCGGCTCCATGTCCAGCTGCCACCGCCCCGAGCTAGTCGGAGGAGTTTTCAACCCTCGCAGCATCATCTCTCGCGGGAAAAGACCGGCTGATAGTCGCTCTTCTCACGACAATGGCACGTCACAGTCGCATCTTGATATCGAAGAGGGAGATGATTGGCGGGGTGGATATGAGAAGAAGAAGCAGGTGTTTAAGGGACGAACTTTGCTTTGGTTGGCCTACCAATCTGTGGGTGTGATCTATGGAGATATCGGAACGAGGTGAGTGATGCGCCCAGATACCTTTTTTTCTTTTCTTGTTCACCCTGTCGATGACGATCTAACCACCCCTATGTCTCTGGCACAGTCCGCTCTACGTGTTCTCGTCAACGTTCACTGCTCCACCCACCCACAGAGATTTACTCCAAGTTCTCTCGGTTGTCATTTGGTCCATCACCATCCTCGTCACGTTCAAGTACATCTTTGTCATTCTTCATGCGGATAATGAGGGCGAAGGTGGTACCTTTAGCTGCTATTCGTTGCTTACCAGATTTGTAAGTATACTAAAGGAAGCCGTGCCTTCTTCATCTCCCGACTCCGTTTTGATCATAATCCCGGGGAGGCGGTTGCTAACAAATGCAGGCCAACATCACCGAGCGCGACCCGCGAGAAGAAGTGACTGTGCGGATGGAAAGACATCTAACCAACGAGCTCAAACCCCCTACCCGCAGTTTGCGCGCCAAACTCGAGGGGAGCAGGTTCACCCACGTTTTGCTCAAAATCATTGGCGTCCTTGCCGTCTCCATGGTCATGTCCGACGGCGTCTTGACCCCGGCTCAGTCGGTCCTCGGAGCCGTCCAGGGATTATCCGTTGTCAAGCCTGATATTTCAAAGTCCACCGTCACCGGCACAACGTGCGGCATCCTGGTCCTTCTGTTTCTGATCCAGCCACTCGGTACATCAAAAATTGCAACCACATTTGCGCCCATCGTCATCGTCTGGCTAGGGTTAAACTTTTCCTTTGGCATCTACAACCTGGTCACATTTGACTGGACGGTCCTGAAGGCTTTCAGCCCCTACTTTGCCTTTCAGTTCTTTATCGAGCACAAAACGCGCGCTTGGAAGATGCTCGGCGGTGTTCTTCTGTCCTTCACTGGCGTCGAAGCTTTGTTTGCCGACCTAGGAGCCTTTAGTCTTCATGCCATTCAACTGAGCTGGATGTGCTACACCTACCCCTGCTTGCTGTTGGCATATATCGGACAAGCAGCCTACATCAGTCACCACCCGGACGCCTACACGAACCCTTTCTTCAACGCAACTCCTCCAGGAACCCTTTACCCAAGTCTGGTCATCGCCATTCTTGCTGCCATAGTAGCCAGCCAAGCCATGATTACGGCAACCTTCCAGCTCATCAGTCAGATCATGAAGCTTTCCTACTGTCCGCAAGTCAAAGTGGTGCACACCTCACAGACCTTCCACGGGCAGATCTACGTGCCCTTTGTGAACTGGCTACTTATGCTCGGCGCAATTCTCGTCACGGCTGTCTACGGCGACACCGTCAAGCTCGGCAATGCCTACGGCGTCTGCGTCATGTTTGTCACCTTCTTCGACACCTGCATGGTCACTCTTGTTTCCCTCATTGTGTGGAAGCTCTCGCCCTTCCTGGTTTTCGTTCCCTGGCTGGTCTTTGCCTCCGTCGACGGATTGTACCTCTCGGCGGCACTAATCAAGGTCCCCGAGGGCGCCTGGTTTACGCTCACGCTTTCCGGTATTCTCACCTCGCTGTTTCTTCTGTGGCGCTTCGGCAAGGAGAACCAGTGGCGGGCCGAGGCCGAAGACCGGTTCAAGCCGTCGCATCTTATCGTCAAGGACAAAAATGAGGGTGGTCGGCTACGGTTGCAACCAGTATGGGGCGGCGACCCGCTCAGTTCACTTCGTGGGTTTGGCATCTTCTTCGACAAGACAGGCGTGATGACGCCTGCGGTGTTCACGCACTATGTGACCAAGTTTGTCGCGATTCCGGAGGTAGCGGTGTTCTTCCATCTGCATCCAGTTGAGGCGCCGACGGTGTTGCCCGAGGAGCGGTATGCTGTGTCGCATTTTACTGCGGTGCCGGGGTGTTATAGGCTGGTGATCAAGCATGGTTTCATGGATCAGGTGATAAGTCCTGACTTGGCGGCTTTGATCTACGAACAAATCAGGCGGTTTGTAGTGAGACAGGCTACAGAGAGAATGAGAGCGTTAGAGAAGTTGAGGACGGGCGAGGATACGGACTGCGAAGGGGAACAGGAGGCCGCAAAGGGGGAGACTTCTCACCGGACAGAATCGTCAGGGGCATCGGGTCCTGATAGTGTACTACTACCCGTCGAGCTCCGCGATGAAGAGGCGGCGGCAGAATTGGCTCGTCTTGACCGTGCGTATGCTTCCAAGATTCTGTACGTGGTTGGAAAGGAACAGATGCGAATCAAGACGGGTGCACCGATTGCTCGAAGGCTTATGTTGTCGGTGTTCTTGTGGATCAGGGACAACACCCGGGCGAAGATTGCGAATCTGCAGTTGGCGATGGATCGTCTGGTTGAGGTAGGCTTCGTCAAGGAGATTTGAAGGGACATTGAAAGATGAACTCGGTCTGGCGATGTCTATTCTGAACTGAGCTGTCATGTCAGTTTCCCATCATGTCAGCGAGCCATACCGAACAAGAAGTTGCCGACAAGACGGGACCAGTAGAGGTGGAGGTGGAGGATTATGATCATTGCAGTGGTTTCATTACAAGAAGTCAGCTGGACATCAGTTCATTACATGGGTACTGAGAGGAAGGAGCGAATGCAGGCGTGTCCTTTTGGCCCTCTTTTTTGGTGTGCCATAGGTTCATGAAGTGGAATTCTAGGAAGGCACATAAAGTTAGGTAGACGGGAGCATCGAAAGCACAAAGTTGAACCAACCCGGGCGCTCCTTCCTTCCATCCACCTTCCTTACCCGCACTTAGGAAAACTACGTTATGCGCCATACGCTGGATTTCCCCTCTGCTTCCAATTCATGGCAGTGTTGACTTTGCGCTCTTCCCAGTCCAAGACGCGTTCATCGTCGCAACACTTTCCCCAGATTCTCACTCAAAGGTCAACAACCAGTCACAAAACAACTGAACAACTCCCCTTTGCCCTCACCTTGACCTATTGACAGCAGTCCCATTAATTCCGGCGCCATGGGAGAAGACTTCCACGCGCACCAGGGTCGGTTTCCCCGCCATCTGTCCGACGACTACCGCAGGAGAGCCTTGTCCGGTGCTGCCATCGGAAGCGAGCCACGCCATCAAGCCTTTGCAAGAGGATCAGCATTCATGGATGATGTTGTTATCGAGTCCAGGCCGCCCCTTCATACAACTATGATCCCAGAGCCGCTCCGATATCCACAGCTGCCAACTTGCCCTCCCGCCCAGTATAGCTGGCAGGATCCTAGAGGCAGGCAGGTCCCGCACGGAGACCCTGTTTCCCAGAGTCATGAGCGCTACTTGCCTGATACCCATGGTACGACAGCAAGTCAAGGGTCAAACCCATCAAATGAAGAAAACTAGTGGCAAGGAGCTAACTTCTATGTGACAGGCAACTACGCCTTGCACCCCGTCAACACCTACGCTCCCCACACTCCCATCTCCGATCCCCGTAAGCCTGAATTCAGCTATCAACCCGGGTATGGCCCCGAGCACAGCTATAACCCGAGGTCCAACGGAAACTTCGCGGGAGCGAGTTACCCATATCTTGCTTTTGAGAACATCACAGCAACAAAATCTTGGGGTCCTGGATCAGGACCAGCACACATCACGCCCCAGCGCCGTATCACCGAAAGCTCATCAATGAGAGAAGAGCCTAGAAGAGATCTTTGCAGCTCCCCTTACTTTGGCAATACTTCAGCTTCAAGCTCTCCCAGAACCCATAATGGACGCCAACACAGACGGTTACCGCTAAGCCGGCCAGCCAGCACGAGCACACAAAATTCTACTCCTGTGAAGTCACGACGCTCAAATATGGGTGCGCGTCGCGACATCCCCAGAACACGCAGTGTGCAAAATGTACACCCATCTCCCCTTGGTACCACAAGCTCGTCTTCCTATCATCGGTATAGGGGAGAAGAACAGGGAAATGGCCGCGGCGCAAGTATTCTCAGAGCCAAGTACTCGAGCAGAGCTCCTCTAAGGGACATGAAGGAGTGTTCCGGCACGACTCCCGGCTCTCGAGAGATGAGTTCACCTGTGATGTCTCATTCAAGCTCTCGGAGCAGTACATCCAACTCGTTTTCTCAACGAGACACCTCTGAGACTACATTACGCCTACCACGCACCTCATTGTACGATCGCATTAGCAAGACTCAAGCAATGAGCACCAGATCAACCTTGCCCACGCCTGTCTTGAGTGACTCCGATTCCGACTCAGATGCTGAAGAGTCAAGCCTTGAGAAAAGACACCGCTTAGTTGGCTCCTCTTCAATCATAACTCCACAGAAAGAATCGGCCCCAACCGTCAGTACTGAAGAAAACGATCACGTCATCTGTGCTATATCAGAGAGTCGCTCTGCGGAAGTGGTTGGCATTGCCGTCATCAATATCACTACGGGACAAGTGGATTTAGCCAGAATTCTGAACGATGACAAGTACTTGTATCAGCGTCTGGGAGACACATTGTGGAAGATGTCGTCAAAGCCGGAAAAGTTCCTTGTCGTCAACAGCGTCACCACCAATAGCAGCAAGTCTTTACTCATTTCTTGTCTGGAGCAAGACTTCCCAGCAGTCCCCATAGTGCTTTGGGGAAGGGAACATTGGAGTGAGGCAGAAGGGCTCAGGATGATTGAGCGTTTTGCACTTCGGGATCATGTGATTGCTCTCAAGTCAGACCTTGAGAACAACTTCTACACTCCTTGTGCCTTTTCTGCTGTAAGTTATCGGCGTCATCGTGGAGATAAGACTGTTGGCTAACTATATCAAGGTAATGAAGTATGTACAGAACGAGCTGAACATTCATTTTGCCAGCAACGCGTTACGAATCAGGTATATCCAGCCACTCAACACCATGGGTATTGACCGCACCACCGTTGCCTCGTTGGAGCTGCTTCAAAATACACGACGAGCCACTGCAAAGAACTCGACGCTTTTCGGTATACTCAACAGTACCAAAACCCCCCAAGGACACCGCTTGCTACGCACAAACCTCTTACAGCCGAGTACAAACAAGGAAGAGGTTATAGAACGGTATGAATCAGTTGAGGAGTTGTCTACTAACGAAGAACTTTTTCGTGAGTTGCGCAAAGCACTCGAAGAGCTTGTTCGAATCGACTTTGAGCGCGTCATCGTATGGGTAAGTTGCTTTTAGCACTCTCAGTCCCTCTAGCATGCTAATTCTTTCAAAGATCAGCCAGGAACAACCCAACCCACGGCAGCCTCTGGAAGAGGGCGTTCCAGGATGTACAAATCAAGGCCTACTCCTACCAACCCATGCGGAGCTTACCAAAGCGGAACAGGAGCTGAACTCCATACTCATGCTGAAGAAGTATCTGAGTGGCATTGACGCATTGCATGGTATACTTGAAGCAGCTGGGTGCAAAAGCCGTCTATTGAGATGGATCAGGGATAGGTTTGCACCAGAGCACACTGAGCCCGTTCAAAGGGCCATGGAAGAGATGATAGAGGATGATGCCACCTACAGCAAAAAGCCAATAGAGTTGAGGAACAATCGGATGTGGGCCGTCAGAGTAAGTCATCTCTGCTTGGTTTTCGTTTACGGGGCTAATAGTTATTCGGCAGGCTGTGCGTAATTCCGTTCTTGGAAAAGCACGCAGGTCATTCACAGCTCTTACGAATGACCTCAATGAGTATTTTGATATGCTAGACAACCAGTTCAATGGTAGGTCAATCTCCCTGCATCAAGATTATCATCACTGACGCAGCTTAGAGGTTTTGGGAACTCGTGCAAACTTGTACATGGACAGCAACCGGCGGTATTGGCTCAGGTTTGATTACTCGGATGTCGAACGTGAAATACAACCTCAATCCGACTTTCAAAAGGGGAATTCCGGCGAAGTCAGCCACTGGAAGCAGGTCTCGATTGCCGGTCTCGATATGATTAACGGCACTAGGGATAAAAAGCATCTCAAATGCCAGACCACAGAGCTTCTCCAGAGGAGCAGAGCTATTCAGCTCCAGGCAGACATTGCAACGATGCAGAGCGATAGATTGGTTATCGAGCTCAAAGGGAGACTTCAAGAGCATTCGAGTCTCATGTTCGATATCAGCGATGCTATTGCATTGCTCGATATGCTTTGCTCATTTACACAGGCTGCCACTACCCAGGACTACGTTCGACCCATGATCACTGATAGCATGGTCATAAAACAGGCGAGGCATGCAATTGTCGAGGCACGGACAAACCACTATGTTGCCAACGACGTTTATTCTGGTGATCAATCCGGACGTTTCCAGGTGATCACCGGCGGTAACATGAGCGGCAAGAGCACGTTCATCCGATCGGTTGCCCTCATTCAAATAATGGCACAGATGGGATCCTTCGTCCCTGCGCAATTTGCGTCCATTTCCATCTGTGACAGAGTATTTGCTAGAGTCTCCACGGACGATGCGCCTGAGAACAACCTGGGAACATTTGGTGTGGAGATGAGGGAGACGAATGTCATCTTGAGGTAACCTTTCCTCCCTTACAAAAGCTCAGAGTAAATGATCTAATGGGATGTCTAGACAAGCCACAGCACAAAGCATGATCATCATGGACGAGCTTGGCCGGGGAACTTCTCCAAAAGACGGTCAGGCCCTCGCCATCGCTATCATCGAGAAGTTAATCAAGATGAAACCACGTGTCTTTTTTGCAACGCACTTCACTCGTATCCGTAGGTTCAAAATGGAGTCTCTCTTCGTTGATTCACCGCTAATCCCAGTCGTACTAGCTCAACTTTTGAACAAAATCTATCCGAGAGATGTCTTGAACGTTCATTTTCAAGGCCAAAGCCAAGCAGTAGGCCAAATCACCCAGATCACACTGCCGCACACTCTCGCCGGAGGTCCCGTGCAGAATGAGGACTACGGCATCGAACTAGCGCGCTGCGTTCTTCCTGGATCCATAGTGGACAATGCTGAGGAGGTTTTGAGAGCCTTGCGTGAGGGTCAAAGGCCACCGCAGAGTGGAGAAAAGGGAAGGGAGGCTAGACGAAGAAAGCTCACGCTAGCTTTGCCTGTTGTTATGAAACAAGCCCTCGACTCGACCATGGATGATGCCGCCTTGGGTTCGTACCTTCGGAGATTGCAGACCGAGTTCACGCTTAGGTGGTTTGGTGTTGAGGAGGGAGCAGAAGACGGTGAGGCGGAAGAAGTTGATGAAAACGCTGGAGAGGTCGGTGAAGGCCGTCCCGAAGAAGCTGATAAGGTTATGGACGTTAGTCAAAGTGGACGGAAGCGGCCTGCTGCTGAGAATGATGGGGGCGAGGAAGGAGGAGATGCTGGAGCCGAGAGTGATGCAGAACATGAAGGAAGACAGAAGCGGAGGAAGGAAGATTAGTCCAGGAAGGTGAAAGGGGTTCGAACAGTTTGAAGGTCAAAGGTTGCCGGATATCAGTCGGAAATTACTTGCTCACTTGTGAACACTTTGTTCCGAATACAAGGACGAGTGGGAAATAGTTTGTAGATGTAGCTGTCGAA